CTGTCTTTGTTTTCTATAACTGCTTATCGCGCGCGCGCATCTGGAGGTCGAATGGGGATGGATGGGGCGTCGCGAGGTCGTGTTACGCATGCAACTTCTATGGGTTTCTCCCTTCAGGGCGCTTGGATGAAACATCTGACACCTGACACCTTTCCAAAGTATAAAAGAAGCTTTAGGGGCGGGGAAGGATGGGGGTGAGGGGAGGGGAGGGAGGGAAGGGAGAAAGATGATTAGCATCGACCGTATTATCTCCTCTCTTATACGGCTAGTAAGTAAGTTAGGAGGAATTGCAGTTACACCAGATGGAGAACTTGCGCCGATATTGGGAGGTTTTGTGGTAGCTGAAAGAAGCTATAATTTCAACCGAGAAAGAGCATCTCGACAAGAGTAGCTTGGAGAGGGAGAGCGCGACAGACACCACGTTAAACTCAATCCTATCTCATTTCAAGGCGAGACGGGGCGGATGAGTGGCAAAGCTCTATTTCGTTTTCTGAGGAGTGGCCCAAATTGGGCTTCCCGATAACCCGGTCGCGCGCAGCCGCGTGGGTGAGTAAGAGAGAGAGAGAGAAAGTGTGTGTCCATCTATCATGAGTCGTGGAAGTGGGAGCTTGAGAAGATGCAGGTTGTTGTGTCAGTAGCTAGTGAGTGCAGTGCGTGGTGACAGGTACTATGGAATGCTATGAACACAGAATGCTGGTTTTGGCGGGCATGGTGGCTTGCTCCCCCTCCTCCTTCCTCAGGCTCGAATCTACCTACATGTCGTCGTAGGGTTGGGAACGGAAATGCCTGATGCTGTCTAGCTTGGGTGCATCGCCTTCCTCTCGACGATCGAGTAATATCAGAGGAACTCTATATGAAAAGAAGCCGAGAGCGTTGGGCGAGGTGGGTGGATGGATGGTTGTGGTGGTGATGTTCGGGGACGGGAAGGGAGGGGATTATCATCGCCGCATTAGAACGAGTTGTTGAAATCATCTGTCCTCATTCCTTCGAGGAATGAGAATGAGGGAGGGAGGGGGCTGCAATACATTGGAACTTCATCCGCGGAAAAGCGCTCAATAACCCTAGGTAGTCTTTTGTGAGTCCGTCGTAGCTGTGTAGTATTTGGATGCCATTGCTTCTGAAGGATGTGTAAAATGCGATGTGGAAAGGAATAATGAAGAGGCGATCATGTGCGGATAATATTGAGACCATGGTTGAAACATTACACATAGTAATAAGTTAGTTACTCCAGACTCTGTTAGACAACTACTCCTACAGTAAGTATTAGCAGTAGCAGTAGCAGCGAAAGCATTGGTCCAGCCTACAAGGCAGTGGATAGCTTCCACTTTCCAGCAGCAGTAGGAAGAAACAACCTTCGACTAGCACATGTTCAATCTGCCTTTGACTTTTTTTGAAGGAGGAAAAACTCCACTGCGCTGCACCTGAAGCTACCTGTCTCTAACCTCATGAGGCAACAGTCTCTTGTACTGAATCCTATTTACGATCTGAGATGAGTTACCTAGTCGTGCGAAAAAGACCACCCTAACTTCTTCTACACAGTAACTACTACTGTGTAGTTCGTACTCCATAACTAGTCAGTAAAGAGGAGAAACCTCAGCCCTTCGACTCAGCACTATTAACTTATCCTCTAATTTCATTAATGATATCATTAATGAAGGAAACCCACATTCTGCAGATCAAAATAATTAATCATCAACCCCAAATATTTCAAACATGACCCTATGAAAAAAAAAAAAAAAACAAAAAAAACAAACAAAACACACAAGATAATTCCACTGTGGCGTTTGATAGTAACCGAACTAGCGTTGGCTTATTTCCCCTTGGGAAACTCATCCGGATTTCCTTTTCCAGGGCGTGGCTTTTTTTCTTTTTCTTTTTCTTTTTTTTGATTAATGAGTAAGCTTATGCCTATCTGGCGTGTTTCATGCCTTTTCTTTCTTTCTTTCTCTTTTTTTTTTTCTAATTACTGGGTTTGTGATTGCTTCAGTCGAGGTTCCACAGTTGGTATTTTTGCTTCCTGCCTATCGTCCCTTGCGTGGAATCAATATGGAATCTTCTTCCTGAGCATCATACTTGATAACTCAGTGCCATCTACGGAGTATAAACCCCTAAACCCCTCATACAATGTTCAATATCCGCCACTATCCAGCAATATGCATCAACTGAATCCAGTGATACAGGACAGAGAACAGAGTATTGTAGAGATCGTATGTAGACGAGATCACGTATACAACCGCATAAACTACTCCGTAAATAATACATAGTCAGTAGATGTCTCAAACAATCCACCTGGCAAACACACACACACACACACACAAAAAAAAAAGAAACCAACTCACACAGTAATTTACTCCGTACGGTTTACTTTTTTTTGTCTCGATTGATTTCTTACTAACTTCCCGTCCCCATCCATCTCCGTTTTGCTTTCAACACACGGACGCTGTTTACCAGAATGTCGGGTCGGGGAGTGGGAAGGAGGGGGAGGGGAGGGGGGGCAGTGGGAGTGGGAAAGAGCTTCTAATTTGAAAGGCATCTTACATCATATTTTTTTTGTGGTCGAACTGAGTTGCCCCGAGTGGGGATAATTAGTCTATAAGTGTTTCCAAACTGTTGATATCTCTGGGTAGTGGATAGTGGATACACAAGCGGTGGTAATTACTGTGATACTCTCTTCCTTTCCCTTAATGGTAGATTGTATTGTACGTCTGCTCACAATACGGAGAGGCCTTTTGACTGCAGAGAGTATTTGGATGTACAAAAAATCTACACGAGCCAGTCTGCAAACTGTAGCACATGAAAGGCGACACTCCCTCGCTTCTAAAGCAGTGAACCACAGCACGACTACATCAAAAGACCTCTGACACCTCCATCATTTCAACCCCGTAAGTAAGTTCGAACCCACTCATCCCATGGACCGACCAACATTCACACCGACAACCAAACCCTGGGTTACCTCCCTCCTTCACCACTACTAACAAATCTAGGTATAGGAACTCGTACCACGCACAGAAATACAATCGAACCGCGGAAGAAGGATCTTTCTTCCGGCGGGAGCCGGTGGACAAGCATAACCATGCAGGAAAAGACTCCCGTCGGAGTTGGAATTGGACGGACCGTGAAGGGGCAGGGAGAAGTATGATACCGTGGACAGTGGACACAGCTGTTGTCTTGCTTTGGTGGCGCGTGCAGTAACTAATAACTATCAGTTTGGGATTATACTTCGAGAGACCTGGCCTCGGGGGATGACAACTTCTGCTGTCGTCAAGTATGCTCATCATCAAAACTTCTATGCTTAAAAGCTCTATTTCTTCTGGATAGGTTCACGCCCGGAATCTTCGGACAGAGAAAACTTCACAGCTACTGGCTCAAGCTCGAGGAAGCCTTTTATGCTTTCTGCGGACGAAACCAATTAGCAAAGAGGCGGGGAAGGCAAGGTGATCATGAAGGGTAAATCCAAAGTCAAAGTCGGTACATCGTCCAGGTGACATGTATGCTCCCCATAACATTAGTCGACCAATGTGTAGGTGATGCTACGCGCACCATTTCCTCAAGACCATCCCCTCATTCTACTTTCCACTGGGTTCACTGACAACTGGACCGGGTGGGTGAGAGTGATCGTGGCCGTGGCAATGATTGATCAGAAGAGCTAGACGAGTAGGTTATGAGGTGAAGAGGCGAGATCCTGAACAGTGACCTGAACGGGGGGATTTGATGGCTCGAGAATCTCACGGTAAGGCCGGCTTGAGGCTATGGTACGCGTGGTGTGTTGGCTTGTGCTGCAGCTGCAGCCAAAATTTTAATTATCGTTACAAGATACCAAACACCTTCTGGTCATACTCAAGGCATTGAAGTAAAGCAGACCACCATAAGAAGACAGCATATACCCACCTTAAACTCCCTCGCCCCTCTGCCATCTAACCATAGAAAGACGCCACGATGAAGCCACAGCATGTACCCACCAAGAGAATTGGGTAGGAGTCAGTGAAATCTTCAGTAAGTTCCACAGACGTTGAGATAGTCCCATTCTATCCGATCAGCTTCCGGAATGGGCCGATATCATGTCGTGCCGGTTGATGCCCGTTGTTGGAGCTTGTGGATTAGCTCTGGTGGATGCATTCCAGACGTCCAGGACTGCTACTTATTCGGGTAGAGGAACGTTCCCACAGTGTCCCTGTGAGGTGATGTAGCACATGGTGGATATCTTCGAGCTCGTTCGAGGTCATACTATGGCGCTTGCAAATTGGATGATCTGAAGACTATCTAATCGTTGACGCATGACAGGCAATCGAAGCGAGTCAAGTCTGGAGGTCTTCCTCGAGAATCCTTTACACCAGGTAGTTTGCAACCATAGCAAATATGTAATTATCTATAAGCCGTCAGGCTAATGTCCATTATGTTCTCCTAACTGGTATGTCCCCCTATCAAACCCCCATGATTATAAGTCCGGCTTATCTCATGGGACAAATACACCCCGCGTACTAGCGCACCGCAACCTAGCTACCCTCTCTCAAGGTAGGCATGAGAAACTGAAACACAAGCTCGAAGGCCACAGAAACTCCCAGGCGCCGCCCTCAATGTAGACAGTTGGACAGCGGAGGAAGCACAAAGGCAAAGCGTCTGCATATCTGCACCTCTACATGCATAGATATAATGCAACATGGGGCTGAGTATGCAATAGAACTCGGATGATGCCACCTCTGGACACACATGGGGCACCGCTTTGGGTAGGTTGATTAAAGATCGATTCGCAAGAACATCCAGACACAAACGAGGAAGAGTGAGAAATGACGCGTTCAAATGGGTATCCTGCGTTGTTCGTCGAACTAGAGGTGTGAAAGAAAAATTGGAGCAGCAACGGTTGCTCGAGATCGGGACTTGAGCCGGGGATGTTGTCTCAGTCGGTCGCATTGAGCCGAAAGGCCATCCTAGGACTTCGAGTCATTTGGGCCGTCAGACCCAGGCAGGAGGATGGAGATCGCAGCCATCACACAGATGTTGGATTAGTGCATAATGACTAGTGAGAACCCATCGATCCAAGGCCCGCTGGAACCCATGATTCCGGCGATTTTGTATCCCAGAGGAGGTATCAAGGTGTGCCTGAAGCCCAATTCGTCAGCCTCCATGTCATGTTATAAAAACAAAAAACATCTTACCCTGATCCGCCTTGAGCATTTCCAAACATGCCAGATTTCCTCCCTTGGCTGGTCAGAATCTCGATCGCGTCAATCCAGTGACCGGCGCGAACATAGAAACCAAGCAGAATCTCTCCCCTCCGGGTATCTAGTATTTCATTAGCGATTGTTGCGTAGCGGACCACGGAATCCACCATACCGAGCACAAAGTCGTCACCTCCAGGTTTTCCTTCCCGATTACCGAAGAGCTGACTCGTAGCATCCTCGTAGAAGAATTCAAGCCCATTGACTGCCGCACCATGATAGATCCGAACCGAGGTCAGAAGCTTGGTTGAGATAAAGGCGCAATCCAATAATAGCTGCTCAGGTTGACTTCCTTCTAGCTGAGACTGTCCCAGCTGTCTCCCCTTGTAGCCGGTATGGCTCTTAGGAAGTTTCACCAAGGATAATTTCGACTTCAAAGTGCTGATAGATTCCACGGTGTAACTGCCCAAGGCTCCAGAATAAACGATCATTTTGACGTTCTTCTTCTTCTCCTTATCATTACCGAAGATACGTTGACGCAATTCACTCTCCGTCACGATGACCTGCCTGGGAAGCCCATTGCCGCTCGACTCACTGTTCAGATACTCGATGAAGTTGTGACAAACGTTGTCACCTTCAGCATAAAGTTCAATAAACGCAATACCCGATGGGGCTGTGAGCACAATCTTGCCATTTTCGACGGGCCAAACCTGAACACTGTCATCGGAACCTATAGGGGCGTCGCTGGGTAGTCGGAAACATGGGTGGAAACGGAACCGCAGGACGTCAAGTCGATGCCAGCCGCATTCATCCTGGGGCAAGCACAATTTGAGACCCTGAGTCTTGGTTCGGGTGGAGAACGGCTCGCGTGTAAGGAAGGTCCGATTGAGACGAACATAATCGCGAAGCATGATTCCCGACTCTTGGTGTGGACACCCAAAGAGGTGACCAACCTCATGAAGATGGGCTCCGATACCGATATTGGCAGCTTCCCAACTGGATCCAGCCTCCCCGCAATCATTAGCCACAAATTCAGTATTGGTCCTGGTGCAATCAGAAAAGGCGTCCACGACTTCTTCCATGTTGGACGGGTAGCTGTGGAGGCTGTGGGAGCCGAAAATCGCAAGCTTGAGATCTCCAGAGTCCGAGCCGAGGGCAGCATGACCAGTGATCACCTGGGAGCCCGTGTCCCAGTGTGAATCAAGCAGCAACACGGAGACATACTGCTTCTGACCAGGCTGGAGGTGAAAGTAATCCCTAACAGCATCTGCCGCAATACGGAATAACTCATCCTTTTGAGTAGCGGAGCCATTCTGCTGCGCAATGTTGAGATCCCGGAGTTCCGCGACGGTCTTGTCGGTGCGAACAACATGAACCTTTGCCTCATTGCGCATCTGACCGGTCGTTGCATCGCGGCGACTCGATGTACCCATCTGCCACTCATCTTCAAGCCGGAAGCAGCGCCGTCCAAGATTGTTGCGGTACATTTGTTCCCCGGTGAATGCTTGCCACAGGTATGCTGCCATGCGATACTTTTGCACAGCAGTTTCGAGGCTGTTTCCTTCCCGTTGTTGTTTCTCCGGTGGGACATCGAAGGAACCATCCGAGTCCTTTCCGAGCAGGATCACGAGCTGCAGCGGCGGGGCATTGACCAGCGGGAGATAATTGATGCACATCCAGGATGAATGAACGGATTGATGAGTGCTACCCGAGGAGTGCTTGCTTGAAACAAATTCAAAGCGTAATCGATTGGGACCCGGAACCAGATGCACCAGAGTCTTGAAGTGTGAGGAAGTGACCGGCCATGATGTCGACGGGAAGCTATCTTGGTGGTGGTAGACCGTGACAGTGCCGTCCAGCGGGTGTTGTCGAGGATCTCCAATTTGACCATACACAAGCAATACTTTATGGTGCACCTACAAGATATTCCCGAGATGTCAGTTTTGGAGCCACTTATGGTCGCCCTGAAGTCATGTTACTTACCCATGAGTTATCGGAGACGGAGATGATGCGAGGAGCGTAGGGGGAAGAAGGTGTGGGAGACCGTCCTACTCCATTCACAGACATAGTACTACCAAACTAAACAGGGAAACCGGGCCATCAGTAAGTGGGAGTGAGTTCCAGCGGACATGAGATCACATACATAGGCGCTGTTCCGCTGCGACGAGCTTGTCAGAGGAACAGGTCGTTGCTGCGGCACGGAAAGGGGTGATATTGCGCCAGATGTGCTGTGGCTTTCGCTCAACGACGGGAGGTTTGGTGAAGATAGAGTTGGTTTGATTGAGGAAGGCGGGGTGAGGGAGCTGGATGAAGCTGTTTCGAGGGTTGATGATGATTGTCCCGAAGTTACATCGCCATTAGACTGAGATTCTGTGGACTTGGTCTCCGGTAATTTGCTAGGAGTGAAGCTAGCCTTTGAACGCCGACGTAGCGTTTTGAACAACGGCATGATGAACGCTCTTTATCTTCTGGTTTGATTGTTGCTAAACCAAGAGGGTGTGGAAGGACTGGGAGCAGGGTGATGAAGTATACTGGAAGGGAAAGAGAGGCTGAGCGCGGCGCTGGCCGATGTCTCTGCCTTCAATGCTTCGGGGGGGGGGTAAGGTAGTTCCCTTCTTGCGACCACCCAATGGGAAATAAGAGATTGACCAGGGGTGAACGAACGACTGTCAAGTGATTATTCCAAAACTGATATGCTGTCGTCAAGCTGGGCTCTTCTGCGTGGGCTAACACGCTACTGCTCTGCGCTGTTCGGCGATGGTCAAGCTAGGCAAAAAAAGCAACCGTTTGCGGTTTGCGATTGAAGAACAAATGGGACAAGCACCCCGCATCCACTGGAATTTGTGGCAGGTTAATAGCGCTTCACCAAGTGGCAATTGACAGTAGGGAACAAAGAGAAAATGAGCGAGAGACAAGAAAGAAGGAAAAGGAAGAAACGAGAGGAGATACAGCTAGAATGAAATCATTAGCCAAGGGTAAAGCGAAGAGGGGAAATGCTTGGAGAAGCCGAGAAAAAAGAGGGAAAACTAGGAACAAGAGACCAGAAGACAAGAGGTTGGCTGGCATGAAACCAAGGAAGGAGGAAAGTTGGGTGTAAAGGAGAGCCAACAGGAAAACAAGAAGAATAAAAAAAATATATATAAAAATAATTATAATTATAAACAGGTGGAACAATGGAGCAATTGGGGAAATAAGAGCAAAAAAAGAGGGAAATTTGGGGGGTGTGGAAATTGTGAATGGGAAAAGTATTGACGGAATACTTTACTAGTCCTCCGCAGTAAGAAAGTAGTCCACAACTATTAGTAGTTAGTAGTTAGTACTTACTCCGTAGTAGTCAGTTCAGCAGTTGAAGAGATTGGAAGTGAGAGAAGTGGAAAGCTGGATGGAGTCGATTTAGTGGCTGGACTAAAACAAAAGAGACAACCGCCAACCATTGTGCTAGTTAGTGAGTTATGTCATTGGTATGTGAGACACGCAAAATAAGTGCAAATAACGAAGTGCAACGGCCAATCTCCTACCGGTTATCTGAATCGCTCCCGGTCAGAGCCAGATCCCATTCCCCTTCCGTTACCACGGCTAAAAGCTTGTTCGCCTTTGGTTTGCGCTCGCTGTCTCTGTTTGTTTCACCTCGATATGCCTGCTACATACATGACGAAAATCTAGATGTGATTCCTGAGTTCCACGCCGCAAGTCGGGAAAAGATCCATAGACCCTTCTTGGGCCCTTGTGTTCGTGCCTTTGAGCCCCAGTGGTCCCTGAATGCAGGCTGATAACGAACAAAGATATAGCGCGGTCCCCTTCTATGTGGACACCAGGCCAGTACTTCTGAGAAAAGGAGAACAATAGGCCGTCGAAAACTGCTGCCATCGGCGATTAAGGTGGGGGGGAGGGAAAGAGGATAGAAGGAGGGAGGGGGAGCCACAGCCAAGCTGCAGCCAGAGGGGGCTCGTTGCGAATAGACAAGGGTGTGTTACGTAGGCTGGATGCAACTGGCCAACAGGACCGCAGACGAATAGCAAGAATGATAGAGGATCAGAGATAGTGCGTCTGCCAGACTACGGTAGACTAACTGCTCGACAACCACTCATTGTTTTCCTAGTTTCACAGTTTCACCGTCTCACCAACCCGGTCCCCGGTGGAGCCTGGCTAGACGATCGTCTGCTTGCTATATTTGTTTCTTCGGCCTTGCCCCTCAGCCTCCTACTGCAGTTCCGTGGCAGCAATGCCGACAGCTATCTTGCCGTTCCGACAACTAATCATGAGAACCAGACGAAAGTCGACCAGCTACAACTGGGTTGACTTACTGCAGGCTGAAGTACTCTACAGTGCGAATCTAGTACGTACAAACTTATTCCATTTTGGCCTGACCATGGGACGAACGGTCAATATGGAACATCCGCGAAACACAGAGCAGCAGCAGCAGCACCCACAGCCTAATCGCAGGGATCTTGGATCTTCCTTGCTAGCGTTGTACGTACCACGCCGGCAGGCAGAACAGTTCAAGTGGCACGGCAGTGATGGTGATGGCGGATGACAATTCTTGGCTGCGGTTCGGCGCACATACCGTCCATTCCACCTGATGCAGCAAACAACAATAAAGTACAATCAGAATGTTATCGGGAGATGCAGCCTGCAGAAAGGGAGGGGGAGGTTCTGGCTCCCTTTCCCCCCTCTCTTTGCAGCTATGAAAAGCTATTAAATACCTCAAAGCTCAAGCCTCTTCAACTAAGGCTCACGACCGGAGAAGAACCAGTTGCTTTTCCCCTATCTTATTCCCCTGATTTCCTCCCCACTTACCCAAGGGCTAGCTACATCTTAGTCTCTAGACTACGAAGTACATCGTCTACGGAGTATATTGTACAGTGTCCTCCCGCTGCCCGGGGTTCTGCAAGGAAACCTTTCCAAATTTACATCTGTCATGACTCGTCAAGGCTCCGTTGCTCGCTTGAGTCTATTGCATACTGCAGTTCCAACCCAAGGGGATGTGAATGGCATGGCGCCTGCCGGTCAGAAGGAGCTTGGCGCCAGGCGTGGCCCCAGCTCCAACTCTCCAGCGTCGGGACTAGATCCATATTAGAACCTGGATTTTGATTCTGCTAGTATCAGAAAGTTTTCAAGAGCCCACCCTGAACAGCCTAATTAGCGACAGATTATCCCTTATCATGGAAGTGGAAAAGCCGCCCCGTTGTCCGTCCCTTATCGTCTCCCGTCGTCAGCTGCCAGAGCGTACAACGAACTGGGATGATTAGGGGGAACAGATTTCTTCCCTAGGATCAGACTCTTACTGGACGCTGTTTTGAGATTTTTAGTACTTGGTGCATGGCCATTGCCATTGATGCTCCCAAGCTGACAACTGATTGTTCTGCAGTTTGAGTAGCTGATGGATGGTCCCAATCTCACAAAAGTGGTTTGCTGCCCGCAAAATCCAATGTCCGGGCCAGGTCCACGTCATGCTCTGCTGAGTTCCTTGTTTCCTCCCATTGTGATCTCAGCGGTTGTGCCTCCGTACTCCGCACTGCGTTTCTCCTCGTTTGCTTTCCCGAGTAGCTTTTCCTATCTGGGTCTTTGGTGTGTTTTTCTGTGATAGTTGGCCTTTTATTGCTGGACAATTTCGATGCTCTCCACCACCTTAGTCCCTAGTGTGTCTCCATCGGCCTTGACCCTGCTTGCCCGGCGACAGTATATAACCCAATGTCCGAACAAAACCTTCCTGCCGGTATGTAAACTGCTTTAGTTACACCGTACTATGCCGAAAATTCTATCATCTACGTTAGCGAAAAGGTGCCAATGGCACAAGAGCATTTCCGTTCCAACATTTAGAATAAGAATCGAAGAAGAATGTTGGGTGTCACTGCGCGGAGCTCTACATGCTGGATGTTGAATTCAACCACAGATGCCGGATAGTGGGACCCGTCGGCTCAGGAGGGAGCAGCCACACAGTAGTTCACAGTTACTGCAGATTCTCGCTTGTGTATCGGGCGGGCTTGAATCAAATTCCAGACCCTTTAGGTCTTTTCTACGGACCCTTCCGTCGCACGAAGGGAAAGGGAACTGTTTTTGCTGATAGATGGGCATGGTCTGAAACCGAGCACAGGGCACCACGGATAGAACCCTTTCGATAGGTGCGGTGCGGGAGTAACTTGAAGAGCAAAAAGAGTGCCGGAGACGGGCAGCGGCTACTAGCCATAACAACCAGACCCTTTGTTTGTTCCTCAACTTCTTGATACGTAAGCACAATTTATGTTAGTTAGTCATTTGCTCCAACTAACTACTCTATTTAGTTACGCAGAGCGCCTGCCACTTGGGATTGATAGCTAGAAAGTAGGCCATATGTACGGAGTACCGTACTATGTAATATGTATACAGTATCTACGGAAGGCTGGCGGCTGGAGAACGAAGGGAAGGGATGGATAGGAAAGAATGGGTTCGAAGATCGGAAGATTTCTTCCAGCACATCAAATCAATCGGATTGGCGATAGCTGCGTTCCTGGAGGATTCCGAGAGTTGAAGCAGGTATCATTGGCTGTGGATTGAACACATATCCTCGCTCGTTGCTTCAGAGATTGATGCCGGGTTTCAACTGTGCTTCACAAGGACAAACCTCTGGGGATGGCGGTTATCCACCCGCTCTCCGAACAAAAATCCTCTTCTCTTTTTCTCCCTCCCTTTGGAATTTTAAACCCAGATCGGTAAATTCGAGAGAGTTTCCAGTGCAGGCTCTTGATTTCATATATCCATTTGAGCATCCAGCAACAAGCTTCCCCAGTGTTCTAGAAGCCATCCATTATCCATCATCATCACCTCTTCTTTTTTTTTTTTTTTGCGTTGTTGCTTCCGGGCTAGACTTCCTCACTAAACCAACTTCGACGTCGAAATCGACTAAACTTCTCTGGGCTGAACACGATCGATCCTCCTCCAATTGGAGTCCCTCTTTTGCTTGTTCTTTCAGCCCTTGGTCCCCTCTTCTTCTACGCTTCTCCAGCTCCAGCCCAGCCTTGCTTCTTCTGGCCTGATTGAACTCTTGTCACAAGCCGACAGTTGCTTTGACGCTAATAACTACCTTCGTTACTACTTACACTTCTGGCTTGAGGGGGAGTCCGCCTTTCTCCAAGGCTGCTGTCATCACATCATCCTCATTTTGTCTCCGAGTGGTCTATGCCCACCCCCTTCCAATCCTGTTTCCTGCAAGCAAAATTCAGGTGCATCTGCTGTCATTCATCAAGAACTACTACGGAGCAATGGCCCTCCCTCACCCGCCCGCCGCTGAACGAACAATCCGGAAAATTGACATTGCTCAGGTATGTGGTCCCCCAGCTGACGGTTGAACGGCCCTTTCCAGTCCTTTTTCCCATCTCGACTGTAACTGACTAAATCCTTTGTGTTGCATGTAGGTGTCCCTCAGCCTCCAAGATCGTCTAGGCCTCGCCAAGGTCAAGTACCAGAATGGTCGACTACATGCTCTCGACTCCAGCGTCAATGGGGGTAGACAGGCTTCCCTGGGAAGTGACAAGCCATCGGATTCTTCGTCTGATATTTCCCACGGTCGTAGCGAAACACCTTTGACTCCGCCACCCTTGCCGAATTCGTCGTATTCGAAGGAACTGCCCAGATCATCCCGCAACAAACATGCAGCAACCTTCGACTCCCGAGTTATGCAGCCGATGCTGTCGGCCAGTCGAAAACGCCTACGGTCGGACTCTATCACAGAACAAACAGTCAAAGCACCTCGAGTCTCCTGGAAGGCTTCATATCAGCTGCCTGAATCATCCCCTGGGTTCAACCGACACCGTGGAGGCCGACATCTCCATCTCCCTTTTATGACAGAAGCTGCCACAATTCCAGAATATTCATCCCCCGCATATCCGCCTGCCTCTGAGGATGATAATGATCCAGACCTTCCCGTCCACAGTTTCCAGGCCGTAAGCTCCATGGTGGGCTCTTCTCCACGCACTCCCCCTCCCAAGCACGCCCGTCTGTCTCGCAACGATCGAAATCTCCGACACGAAGACGGAGCAGATCTGCTTCTATACCTTGCCAATTCTCCTACGCCAGCTAGTGTCAGCAAGCCCCAAGCCCGGGAGTTCCCTCCTTCAACGCCACCGAGCCAGCATGCCGTTCTACCGTCTCTGACCCCGACCCTTGGAGGGGGCGGTCTTTTCAACAACTTCGGCACTCCAAACCAACAATTCAATTTTGCCGACTTTGTGAACGTGACCCCTAGCCCAGCCCAACCAGCTTGGGGCGGGCGCACGCCAGGGGGTCCGTCGAGGACTCCGCTTGCCAATAAGGACCGCAGACGCTCCAACTTGGACAGCTTGCTGCCTCCGAGTGCGGATAGTCCCAAGATCCGCGGGAAGGGATTGGGAACTGTGTTGCAACTAGGGGAGGAGCTCCGGCCATAATCAGATGGCCACAGGATGCATATGTCTGCTTGCATTGTGCGTGCGATCTGGACTTATTATTCACGACTCTTGATGACTGTTATGTGCACATTACCCCATTCTATTTCTAGTCTCATACCCCCATTGCTTTGATCTTAGTTTTCTTCTATATCCCCTCAATGTCTCAATACGAACCATTACGGGGCCACGAATGTTCAAAATGACATTCGATCGCCCGTGCCCATTTCTCCTCTATGTTATGGCCGGAGGATCCTGATTATGACTTTTCCATTGTGTGTGAATATCATGTGATCCACCAATCGGTAAATATTTGACAATCTTGGCCCGGCTCTCCCACTGGATAATTTTTCTTTCATCATATCCACATATTTGATGAGTACGATTCATTCAGATTTCCTGCAAATCTCCTATCTGGTGCAACTGATGACCCCTGCTCGGGAATTTTTTATACCAATAAGCAATGTCGAGTCGAGTATACAAGAAAAGCAAATCGCAAAATAAATCCAATGACGTATTCACAAGTCCATTATGCCTGAACTTTTGCCTGTGATAAATAAAGAGAAGAAAAAATCCCCACAGGGCCGCAGACCCCCACACTCAAACGAACCTAAAAAATGAAATGACGTCTATCTGATTTCTCTTGTAGCCTGGCAACTACGCTATTAGGCGAAGATGACTAGCGAGCCCCGGTGTCTTGTCGTAAGCGCCACGTTGAGGAGAGAACCACAGATCAAGGATTCGGAAGAAAATAAAAAAGTAATCAACGCGTCAAAGAGAACGCGTCCCAGGACCCAGCTACCGTGTTGATTTCGCGTTGACGCTAGGCTCTAAATGGTATGGTACATGCGCTAGCCAGCCGGCGAGTCTTGCTCCATTGGGGTTAAGGGTGAGCTGGGATCTGGCGATCTCTTCACCTTCGCGTGAGGAGCACGTGACTCGCTTGGGGATCTATTGTTTAGCTGGTGTCGGTCTGATAAGTACCTTTCTAGGAGAAGATGATCGGATGTTAAATGGAAAGAGAGAGTAGAGAGGGTAGTAACTAGGGTATATCTACTGGGCTTTTTTTTTTAGATGTTCTATCGAGGAAAGACAACGAGGATCGATCAGAGGGGCAATGATTTGGTTTCGTGCATGTGTATATTTTATGACTATAACCAAAGGCGAGACAATAGTTTTATCATGTGTATCAAGGATGTGAACTGAGTTGATAACCCCAAGCTCAGGCATAATATTCCCAAACAGTCTACTAATTATCTTCGACTTCATCCCCCAGTGCGGGCGGCGCACCCTCCAGTTTACTCTTCTCCGACTGCTTCCTCCAAAGATGTGCTAGGTAATCCGAGGTGGTCGCCTCGTCGATGGATTTATCCTCGCGCACTTTCAGGAACCGCGGGAACCGCAGACTCAGACCGCGTTCCTCACTCACGAGGCCGATGGCGGCCGGATACGTCGGGCTGAGGGTGATGTCCGCGAAAGCCATCTCCCAGACTTCCTGCGGTTCGAACCAGACGTCCGGAGAGCCGTAGTATTCCACGTAGCTGGGCCGCGAGATCACGTTCGGCGTCCCCTGGGCGTACTTGTCCTTGTTCGCCTGGTAGAACTTGTCGGTAAAGCCGGACATGCATTTGGTCACGGCCTCGAGGCCGCCAGTCTCCGGGTTACGGACCGCAAGGAGGATCGGCGACCACCATTTGGCCTTGCGGCCCTGCCCGTGCCATCCGGCAACGGGGATCAGGTCCAGCGTCTCGGAGGAGGTGCTGTAGTCCTTCTTGACCTTGAGCCACGATTCCAGGCGCTTGTCGGGTTCGTAGGTTGAAAGGAGGGCCTTGCGTCGCCCGCCTCCTCCCGCTTTGGTCGTGGTTGAGGAGGAGGATTTGGAGTCGGATTTATCGATTGGAGTGGGGTCAGTAGTCACGCCGTTCGCGTCGAGTTCTGGCTTGAGAACGTTGTCGAGCACTTTGACCATGATTCCTTCGCACTTGATGTCGGTGGCGCCTTTGAAGAATTCGAGCACGGCCTCGGAATCGGCGGACGTGGCGTCTAGACTTTTGACCCAAGTGAATCGTTTGGGAACCTCTACAAAGAGACTCCGCAATAGCTCTCTACGCTCACGGAAGGACCGGTCGAGCAATGGCTGTCCATTGAGGTACATTAGGTCAAATGCAAACAGGCACACATTCACTTTGATAGCACCGATATCGACGTTCTTCTTCGCGCGATTGGTGAGGATCTGGAAGGCTTGCAAATCACCAGTTTCTTGATCGACTGCAACCACCTCTCCCTCCAAGATGAAGCTGGAAACCCCTTCGCCACGAATCTTGGGTACTAGGGATACGAGATCAGGATACTTCTCGGTCATATTCTCCAAATGGCGGGAGAAGACGGACACCTTGCCTGCCTCATCGCAATGAACCTGGGCACGCTGTCCATCGTATTTGTACTCGCAAGCAAAGTCTCGTCCTTGCAACTTAGTTAACATATCTGAAAGGTCGCGTGTGATGCTACCCAGCATAGGTCTGAGGGGAATGTGTAGCTGTAACCCACAGCGCACGAGGAGTTCCTCCGTTACGCCGCCGTCGAGTAAACATGGAACAAGATCATCATAATCCGGGTGCCGAGCATACGAGGCCTTGACAATCTCTTCTGCGTTGCTGTAGACCTCGGCAAGTTCTTCTTTCTTCAACCGTGCCATATCTTGTTGAGATCGTACAGAAAACTCAGCACCATCTGGCTTAGAGTACAAGAAGGCTCGAGCAAGAGCGATGAGCATTGTTGTCTTGACAGCCCCTATACGCAGGTTCTGGACGAGCGTTCTTACAATGTACCGACTCTCCTCTGCACCACGAGCATCTTGCAGCAATTTTTCAACGATCCTCTGCTTGGCCTCTTGGCTCCCAGACCCTTTACTCAGCGCAATCTTCTTGAGAGACTGGTACACGCCCTTGATCTTCAATGGCTTAGGCTTCATCAAGGTGAAGCTCTGTCTCTTTTTGGCCTCGAAGGCCACATCGCCTGCATCGCCATGCTTATCATAGAGGGACTTGAGACTCTGGCTATTGAGACCGTAGACCTTCTTGAGAGCCTTGGAGATTGACGACCCGCCCAGACCCAGCTCTATCTCGTCGTAAGGTGGTGTTATGGAATTAGTCGCGAGCCAAACCGCGGAAAGAACGCTCGAAGGATCACCCTCAATCAGGACCCGCAGAAAGTTGACTAAGGTATCCACAATCTTGATGCGACTGGTCGTTGCATTTGCAAGGACGAAGGCCCTGGTTAGAAGCGCATACGTAGCGTCGCCACCTTGTGCAGCCCAGTGGCCCTTCAGCTCCTGCGCGTATTTGGCCGCGTCGAATGTGATCGGACTCTGGTCGAATGGGACAGCGAGAGAGATTGTATCTTCAGTGCCCGACGATGACTGAAGAGAGAGTATGCCTTTTCCAGGTCCAGTGGTGGATTTTACGTCGGTGACCTCCGCGGTTAAAGATGTCGGCGCCGGCGCCGATGCCGGTGTTGGCTCGTTAGTAGGAGTTTCGACCTGCGACGTTGGTGGGACATCTTCTCGATCCCACTCTGCTTGAAGCTTGCGTGCAAGCGCCTCATCTGACAGAGTCTGTTCATCTTGCGTCTCAGCCTCGGCTGGAATTTGTGATGCTTGCTGGGTCTTCTCGGCCTGCTTGCTTGCTTGGCCCTGAAAGAATGACGCTATGCTCCGGGTGCGCTGGGCAGATGATTCGAGTTCATCTCTCTTGCGCTTCTTAGCCGGACTAGCCATTGTGTCAAGTCAGGTGTGATGGTAAAATAGAACAACAGCCATTGAGATTGAGGTGCTGCAACGTACTTCTCATGGTGAATCTGCGAGCTGAGCTGCGGGAGGAAGAAGACAAAGACGATGACGTTGGTTGGACGGAAGTGGCAGCGGGCTTCCAGACACCGTAGCGCCGCGGCGTGTTGCGACTCCACGCTGTGCTTTTTCCCCCGCCAACTTATCCACAAAAACAAAGCACACCACGCCTACAATGGCTCCTTCTGCATCGGCCTTGTCGTCGCACGAGAGGACAAGAGTGGAGGATTATTTGAATGATAAGCTCCAAGTTTCTGCGGATCTCGAGAGTCTCGACTCCTTGTTGTCAAGTTTACGAGCCCAGCATGAGCTGCAACGCAAGCAGGTACCTTATCTCTCCCCTGTACCTTAACGATCATGTTACGTTACTCTTCCCCGTCCACCATACTAATGGGAGCCCGGACTTAGCTAGCTGAAGCACAAGAAGCCCTCTCCAATGTCACCAAAGCCTCCAACGATCACGCTGAAGCCACTCGCCAGCGAGCCGAAGCATTCAACCTGCAGCAAGGGGACATTGACAGACGCCTTAAAACAATCACCGGATCCGATTCCAGCGACGATGCAGCTAAGCTTTTCGAAGCAAGCATAGAGAAATTGCGGAGGCTCGAGATCTCCAGGGGCTACATGACTGTGCTGAAGGAAGCCGAACAATTGAGGTAGGGTGCCTACTCAAGAGCAGCTTTTGTACTTCGGTCGCTAAGTTTGGGATGCAGTCAAGAAGCCTTGAAGAAAACCGAAAGTGATCCCAAATCGGCGATACAATCATATACTAGACTGCGGAACATTTCCCGATCACTGAATGACGCCCAGCCCGCAGCAGAAGGGGCCGCCCCTCACCTGGTCGATTATGTGGGGAAGCTGGTTTTCGCGCTCAGGGAGCAGATGAAGAACAATCTCTCGCAGCGCTTACAAGGAACGATGGATCGCATGAAGTGGCCTTCGAAAGACTTGCAATTCTCGGATGCAGTACTAGCCGACTGGAAGGAAAACGTTGGGTTGCTCCTGGATCTGCAGATACCGTACGCTTTTCTAAGACCCATGATGCAAAAGAAGCAGGTAGACGTCTAACGCTTGTGTCGCAGGGAGCTCACTGGCCGCGCATCAATGCCTGATAATCACTGTGCCGAGCCTCCGGTGCTGTTGCCACTGGAAGTGATGGTGCATCCGCTCGAACTTCGATTCAAGTATCACTTCAGCGGGGACAAGCCAACCAACAGACTTGACAAGGTACGGCTCAGGCTATAAATCTCCCACCACGAATTTCAGGCGTCTAACGGATGATAGCCGGAATATTTCCTAGCTCACATCACAGACTTGATGAACAACTTTGGGAGTTTCTTCGCCTCGTTCTTACAGCCCGTATTCGATGAAAAAGCGAAACAAGTCGGATCCGACTTGGAGTGGAACTTCTATAATGCTTCTCACGCATTTATCACAGCACTTTTGCCTGTATTGCGGAATAAGATAGCGACCTTCATGCCTCAGATATCGACACATCCACAGCTTCTGAGTCATTTCCTACACGAGCTGATGGCTTTTGACAACGAGGTCCGCGAAGCCTGGAACTATCTTCCTAACCCTTACGCCGCTGAGGATTGGAAGGGGTTGACATGGGAGGTGTTGACAAAGCAGGGCTGGTTTGATCGCTGGCTGCAAGTCGAAAAGGACTTCGCGTTAGCTCGCTACAAAGAGATTGTGGACGCACCAGATAGTGGGCATATCGACTACGACGGTGTTGAGCTTTCGTCAACAAAACCAACCAAGGCTGCGATTCGCGTCAACGATCTCCTCGAGACAATTACCGAGAGATACCAGCCGTTATCGTCATTCAGCCAGAAGCTCCGCTTCCTCATCGACATTCAAATCACAATTTTCGACCAGTTTCACGAGCGGCTACAGTCCGCTCTGGAGGCCTATCTTGCAATGACCTCAGCTATTGGTCGAACCGTTCAGGGTGTGGATGGGCAAGCCAGCATTGAAGGCGTTGCTGGCCTTGAACGACTTTGCAGAGTCTTCGGAAGTGCAGAGTACCTCGAGAAGAAGATGGAAGACTGGAGCAACGAGGTCTTCTTTGTGGAGCTCTGGACTGAACTCCAAGAGCGCATCAAGCTGAACAAGGACGGAGGCAAGAACGTGGCCGGTTCTATGTCCATCGCTGAAGTCGCATCGCGCACCTCGCAGGCTGTGAACAACAACAGCCATGATAAAGATCCGAGCACAGCTTCTGAAGGCGCCTTATTTGACGAGACTGCTTCCGCATACCGCAATCTACGACTCCGCTCCGAGTCCATAATCACATCCACGCTGACGTCAAACGTGCGCTCTGCTTTGAAGCCTTACTCCCGCGTTTCGACCTGGACCACTCTAGCGGCCACCTCACCTGCTCCAAACGGCGCCCCTCTGCCGCCGACATCTGACTTAGCCCCGGTTCTGCGTACCATTTCTGAAGAATTATCCTTCCTCGCGCGGGCGCTCGGCTTCGCTCCCCTGCGCCGTATTACCCGGCAGGTACTCCTCGCGATTCAGAGCTTGATGTGGAGTAGCATCCTCATGAGAAACACATTCTCAGCATCCGGGGCCCTGCAATTCATCAGCGACATGGAACATCTCGGTAGCGTGGTCGATGTTGCTTTAGGCGCAGCAAGCCAACCGGGCGGCTCTATGAAAGTATTGAAGAAGTTAAGTGAGGCGCTCCAACTTCTCGGATTGAGTACCACGGAACAGACGTCGTTGGACGGTGCGACAGACCCGGCCGGCGATGAGTTCAAGGAAGCGAGCCTCCCAGTCCAACCTGGGCTCTGGGAGGTCGAGAAGAGACTTTTCAAGGACAACGAGAGCGCAAGGGAAGTTCTGGCCGAGCTTGGGATTGATTCCTTGACGGAAGCAGAGGCAAGAAGCGTTCTGGAAAGACGAGCCGAGATCGGGAATTAGCGGTTGACTCCCGTGACATACAGGCCCTCCCTTTTGTGCATGATGTGGCTTGGTCGATATCAGTACTTGATTTCATAAGATATCCAGTGACCGTATTTGTGAGTCTATTGATACATGCGCCTTGCGGGCGAAATTATAATCTCTATCTTCTATTCTATAGATTTGTGGGTTTATTTTCCCATACTCTTGAGCTCATGGCATTGTACAGCTACTCAAGCAAGTCCCATTGGCCTGCGAACGTAGGCTAAACTTCCACAGAGGCCCAGAGCAAAGCTGCCTTAATGGTGATGCACGACAGGCCCGTGACCGCGTTCCAGCGATCTCCGCGGCGGCAACTCAGCGCGCAATTTATGATCTGCAGCCCTCAACTTCTCGACAATGGCCGGGCCGACCTCCTCGATGGCTCCGACCAGCATCTCGACTGTCTCCTTCGTCGTCTGCACATTGACGACGCAACGGAAGAACTTGCCATCGCCGACCGCATCCTCATCGCCGCTGGGCGGGGCGAAGTCCACCATGAACCCCTTGCGGACGATCGCATGCGTTACCTGCTCCGTCACCTTGCTGTTGGCCTTGGCCCTCTGGGCTTCGGCGGCGGCCGACCTGACAGACCCGTCACGGCGCGGGTACACCATCTGGCGGTTGGGGGCGTAGTAGAAGCATACTTGCAGACACGGGGTAGGATTCTCGCTGACGAGGATGAAGTTGTCGTTGTGCTGGAGCAAGGTGGCAAGATGCGCGGCGACGGCGCAGGCGGAGTCGATCTGGCGCTCGTAGCCCGCGGTGCCGTAGTAGGTCCAGCCCAGGAAGAGCTTGAGCGAGTCGGCGCGCCGGCCGCATTGCAGTGTCAGGTCAGCCAGGTCCCAGACCTCGGGCGAATCGACGTCGACTTCGGAGGTGCCACATCCCCGCTCCTGTTCTTGTTCCTCTTCGGCTGTGTCCGGGTTGTGGAAGAGGTAGCCGGCAGGAAGGGTGTTGGCGCGGTGGAAGCGGCGGAGGTCGGCGGCTAGGAGGAAGGAGCACGTCACGGGGACGCCGAGCATCTTGTGCGGGTTGATGGCGATGCTGTCGGCCAGCTCAGCGCCGGCGAGCTTGTGGCGCTGGGCGGCGGAGAAGATGAACGAGCCGCCCCAGGAGCCGTCGACGTGGAACCAGAGGTTGTAGCGCTTGCATAGGGCGGCGATGTCGGCGAACGGGTCGAAGGAGCCCAGCACAGTGGTGCCGGCCGTCGCGTTGACGTAAAACGGGGTGCGGCCCTCGGCGAGCGCCTGCTGGATGAGTCGCTCCAGCTCCGCGGGGATCATGCGGCCCTGCCTGTCGACGGGGACGGCCCACACGGCGCTGCTGCCCAGTCCCAGCATCTGCGCCGCCTTCTCGATGCTGTAGTGGCCGTGCGCGCTCGTGAAGAGCACGAACCGATACGAGCCGTTGCCCTCGCGCTTGGTGTCCGGGTAGAGGTTGTTGCGCGCGATCACGATCGAGGTGGTGTTGGAGGCGGAGCCGCCCTGCACGGAGATGCCGCCGGCGCGGGGCCCCGTGAGGCCGAACAGCGAGGCCAGTCGTCGGCCCGTGTACTTCTCGATGACGGTGAGGGCGGGCGAGACCTGATAGACGTGGACGTTGGTGTTCAGCGCAGCGAGGATGAGCTCCGAGGCGACGCCGGGGGCGTTGGTCGAGGCGTACAGCTTGTCCAGGAAGCCCTGGTGCCAGGTGTTGACCGAGTAGCGGAGGACCTGGCGGAGGACGTCCACCAGACCATTTTGCCCGGTACCTTCCTGCGGCAGGCTCAGCTGAAGCAGCTCTTGTAGTTCCTCTGGCTTCTTGTGCTCGACTAGCGATGTGCCATCTTTCTGGTCGTTTGCTGTGAGAGATTTAGAGCTGAGAGGGTCTAAGTCCGCGCTGCGGATGAAGGGGATTAGGAGGTCTTCGACTGCGCTCAGGAGCTGGTGGGGAGTTGGTTCGACGTTAGTCGCAATTGATGGTAATGGAAGCAAGTTCACCGTCGGTTGAGATGCGCTGGCGCGGAGACCTGGATGAAGAACTCATGACTCACATTCTTGACTTCCTCCGCGCGATCCGCCGGCGATGCAGCAGCCATGAATGTGTACGTACCAATCGTGAGGCCTGATTGTACTGATGTGTATAGTGTGTAAATGAAGCTAAGGATGGTCCAAACTCACTCCCCGAAAAGAAAAAAAAATTAGAAGTCATCGGAGAATCGTGGAGCCAAGCAGTGCTCGTATGGAACAATTTTGCGGATCCACAGAACAATCCCGCGAACCTGACATCATGGATGGATCCAACTTGCCGGGTTTTGTGGAGGTCTGACAGGTACGTTGAAGAGGTGAATCACTGAATGGAGGTGGTTAATGTTACTGATCGACTGCAGAAAAAAAATGAATAATTGATTGGAACTTTGGCTCAATGAAGTGTTGTTTGTCTGCAGAGAGGAGAGAAAATACCTCAAAATTCGATAGCTTCAAGCTGAGACTTGCTTTTCCCAAACCAAATTCCACAGAAAATCTGCATAGTAATATACATGACCGCTATTTTTGCCAATTCCCTTATTTTTATCATACATTGTAAAAACCAGCAATTCATACCCCAGAATATATCGCCGAAATGTGTCGCCCACACTCCACCCGTTGTTCCATGTTCACCGTCCGACTCCCGACCTTGCCCTTGTGACGAGGCATTATCTGAAGCCGTGCATCCTGCTTATCAGCTTCACGCTTACCCTCAGCAGGTGCATTGATGTAAATCGGCTTGGACGAGTTGCTACGCCTGCCGGTGCCGAGTTGGAAGTGCTCGTTGCCTCCCCACCATAGGACATCGTAGCCCCAGGCATTCGTTTCATCCAAGGAATTCGTAGTAGCGGCATCCATCTGCGTTTTGTTGTCCATTACTGCCGAGACGTGTGTTGTACCTACGGAAATATCGCGCATGCGGATGGGCGCAAGCCCATTCAAGCGCTCATCGTATTCAAAAAGTCCACTCAAGGATTTTACCTTCGTAAGGGAATCCTGGATATGAGTCCATTTTCCAGTACCCAGAGCACCCCAGATTCCCCGCCCGCATGTCCAGACATCGACCGTGACACGGCCCAGGTCGCGAACATTGGAAGGATTTTCGTTTGAGCCCAACACTCTTTGTGCATCCACAGCAACGAAGCTATTAGCTCCTCCAGCAGCAATTCGAGTGGCCTTGGGGAGGTATGCGCCCCGATAGAGTCTCCTGATAGGCATCATGATGGGCCTGTCGCAGAAGGGGAATGACGGGTCAAATTCCATTCCCAATTGGCCGAAAGAGTTGTCACCAAAGGCATACACATTTCCTTTATCGTCAAGGGCCAGAGAGTGGTAGTCGCCGGCCGCGATCTGGATGATCTTGGATCCCTTCAGGGTGCTGACTTCGTGGCACATGTCCACCGGTCCCTTAGGTCGAGTCGCCCACTTCAGCCCCGGTACGCCGAGTTGACCGAAAGATGGATAGTTCTCCGATGAAGACGCAACCGAGAAGACGCGACCCGAGCTTGTAAGTAGTAGGGCATGATCGATTCCACCGCTGATCGCCGCGACTCTTTCGCCCATCTTCAAGCTAGGCTGCAGCTTACGATAGCTCACACTGGCCGATCCGGACCAGAAAGGCATCCAGGACCCCTCGCTGGGTTTGTGGCCTGCCAGCTGGTCTTCCTTAGCGATGGGAAGTGAATAGACAGAGCCGTCCGATGCTAGCGCGATGAGGCGATCATTGGACATGCAGAGCGAGGTAAGGTTCTTGCCAGTCAGGGTTGGAGTAGGCTTGTAGTCGGTTTCTGAATAGCCCTTGCCCCATTGCACCAAGTCGCCGTTCTCAGTGATGGCAGCGCCGGACTTCTCGCCAAGCTTGAGGTCTCTTAGCACCTGGCCATCGAAGTAAGCAAGTCTCCGAGGAGTTTTGACGACAGCGTCTTTCGATCTCGGATCAACAACTTTGTAGGCATTTGTGCCCCAGACATAGACACCGGGACTTTTAACACTTCGTTTCTTCTGCGCGAATTGCGAGCCGAAGTCTTCGGTGGCGTTTGTGAGGTCTTTCACGTGCTCTACTGGGGATTCGATGTCATTGCGATTGGAGCTAGTATATTCGTAGCCCAAATACGCAGCGGTTCCCAAGGCAGCCACGCACAGTGAGTTCCGGAACCAATGCAAAGAAGTTCCCTGGTTGCCATTACTGGCATAAGATCTTCGCCACGGAGCTCCGACAGCTCGACTGTCTCTCGCCAAGCGACGAGAAGCTTGCAAGGCAAGACTGGTGGCCGATTGCCGTCCCCGAGTTGTCCACATGTTGTTTACCACAGCTATGGCGTCGGTTAAAGCAGCCGCTTTGCTCAAGTTGCCAGGGCTGTACGTACAATGAAGCTCCAAGGGAAGCTCTCCCAAGGATCAATGGATAATATCCGTTGCGTCAGAAGATACCGTAGGCGGAAATTGACGGCAGAATAGCGGCGCATTGAAGCCACGGAGGATGCGGCTTGTTCTCAACCATCATGTGTGAATTTGCCTAGGGGCTGCTGTTCTGACTGTTAGCTGCCTGGGATAAAGGCTTGATGTCAGGTACTCCCATAATTATTTTTCCCTCAGCAGTTCTCCCCCGAAAATGCGTCAACAAGCTGCGGGACAGCGAAGTCGTCGCCAGACTGCTCCATCCGGACCACCTGTGGATATTAAGGCCAAAGTGATCGACGAGCACGAGACAATTCTAGATGGTCTAGAATCAGTCACAGATATCAAGAACGAGTTGGAGTTTGCGCAATGGTATACCGATGTGGAGGACAGTCTGCTGGAAGCCAGCTACGATGAATATCAGTAAGTGGCACAACGAGCCGCCGCGACAGAGCCCCTGACAGACGCTGACCGTTCGTTCTGTTAGAGCATGTTTACAGGAGCTGCAAATGTCCAAATCCCATCTAGACTCCTTGCTATCGGATACTTCATCAACCCTCAACCTTCTCACAAGCCTTTCCAATGACTTCAAAGCTGTTGAGTCGCAGACGTCCAATTTCCAGAAACAATGCGAAGGGCTCCTATCCGCGCAAAAGCACGACTTGACACTGGCTACTCAAATACAGGATAACCTCCAGTACTATGACTTTCTGGATCCGGCTTCGAGGCGACTCAACGCTCCGGGTGCTGGAAACACAGTGCGCGGGCAAGAGTTCTCGGATATGCTCAGACGGCTTGACGAATGCGTGGACTACATGGAGGTACATGTGAGTACATGTAGCATCGAGACTGATATTGTGTCGTGCTAATCAATACCGTCTGTCGAGTCAGACCGAACAAAAGGAGGCCGGGGTTTACCGCTCGAGGTATCGACTTCTGATGACTCGAGCTCTCACTCTCATTCGGACACACTTTGTCACCTCACTACGAGATATTTATGCCGATGCCTCTAAGAAGATTGCCGACAAGCAACTCAATGAGACAACAATGTCTACCCTGCTCTATGCAAAATTTCGGGTCGGCGCACCGGAGCTGAAACAAATCGGTCTCGAGATACAGAAACGCGCCGTGCCCCCGGTGGACCCCGATCAAGGCACAGAAGCCGAATACCAGAGCCTTCTCAACGAGCTACACGCTAATTATGCTGCAACTCGTGGGAAGGTCATGATTCCGTTAGTCCAAAAGAATCTTAGCGACATCGCGCAGTCGCCTACCTCATCGCAGGACCTTGTTGCCTTTGCGCGAGCGAGCATCAGCTACATCCGCGGAGTCTGTTTGGACGAATTTGAACTGTGGGGCGAATGGTTCCATGGCCAGGGTGGACTTTATGACTTCCTCGAGACCATCTGCGAGCCGCTATATGATCACCTCAGGCCTAGAATCATCCATGAGGATAAAATAGTCAAGCTTTGCCAGCTTTGCACGTTACTGCAGACTCGATACCTTTCGGATCAGGATGAAGAGTCGGACCAACCCGTCGACGCAAGCCAACTCGACTTCACTACTTTGATTCAGCCGGCCCTTGAAGACGTTCAAACACGTCTCGTCTTCCGGGCCCAAGCTTTCCTGCGCGACGAGATTGAGAGGTACAAGCCCCGCCCCGAAGACCTGGACTACCCAGCACGGAACCGGCAGTTCTCAATTTCAGTCACGGAGGGCCAGATCTCCGGCCGCAAGGTGGCTTCTGGACCCCTTGTCAACGTTCAAAAGCCGATGAAACAAGCCGAAGATGGCACAGACATAGACCCCGACGCGAAGTGGGATCTTGAGACCCCCAACGCCTTTAGCGGATGGTATCCCACCCTCCGTAAGGCCATTTGGCTTCTGAGCCGTATCTACCGACTTGTCAATGTAAGTCATTGTCGCCTTACCGCCAGAAGCCCCAGCCTTTCACGGCCGATGTACTAATGTCTTCCCCCTACCAGTCAACCGTCTTCGACGATCTTGCCCACCAGATTGTCCATCAAACCACCCTCTCCCTCCACCACGCTAGTACTCTTATCCCCGTCTCAACCACAGGAAGCAACCCAAGATCCCCGACCCCAACCTCGCCAACTCGCCTCGAAACCCATCGTCAGCTCTTTCTAATGAGCCACCTCCTTATTCTCAAACAACAAATTGTCGCGTTCGACATTGAATACGTCGCCCCAGAAACCTCCCTCGACTTCTCTGGGTTAACGCACACCTTCTGGGAACTCCGCGAAGAACGCGGCGGCCTCTTCAATCCGCGCAACCTTGTCCGACTCGTTGGCCACGGCCTCCTGCCTCGAGTGGTGGAGAATATGTTAGATGCGAAAGTCGAACTGGATGGCCGTCTTCGCACTGTGATCAATGATTTCATCAATGGATTCGCAAGCACAATGACCGCGTCACTCCCCGCCAAATTCGTGGCCACTCCGGCAGTCCAGAAGCAAGCGGCAGAGGAGTGGATCTATCCGACGTGTCGGAACATCGAGTCCGAGGTACTGGGCTTGAGGCGCGTGCTGGGAGAGTACCTGGACGATCTACGAATGCGAGAGACATTAGTCGGGGCAGTGCAAGATCGCGTAATCCAGATTTATGAAGAGTTTTGGGAGAGATTTGTCGCCGAGGAGAGACGAAGTGGCTCGATAGCTGGAGTGAGAGGGAAGGGCAAGGGGAAGGGACGCGAGGATGATGTCTGGGATGTGGATACGTTTGCGGAGTGGTGTGAGGGCGTCTTTCGAGTTGGAATCTCCGGGGCCAATAATGACGATGATGCTATTGGCAATGGCAGGACTTCGAGTCGAACGGGGAGTCTGGGCTGAATGCAGAACGCTGGGGTTTTGAGACTGTAAATACTTTTGACCTTCATTCTCGGCACATAGTAATTGGAATTGTCGATCGGCTTATCAGGTGACCCGCCCGATAAGGATTTCTTATCGACCAGTCAGAGGCAACAGTCACGGGTCATGGGGTACAAGCACGTGCAGAACCCGGGGGAGCTTCAACAGTCATTCGGGGCTCGCCTCATTATTGACTTCGGCTCCTTTTCTTCCCTCTCTGTCTCTTTGTCCTTTTATTCTCTATTCTTACCTATTACTTGACTGCTACACTTGCTTTGACTACCTGTCCATTGACCCGAGGACCAGACTGTACCTCAGCACCGCCATGTTTATCTCCGATAGCAGTACCCGAGCTATCGGGGCCACCGCCAACTCTATGAAAGATACGCTCTTGCAGCGTATCCCCGCGCCCCAGCAGGTCCTCAAAGCCGTCACAGGCGCACTAGGGGTCTCTTCTCTCTCAGGACTAGACTATTCGACCTCAGAATCAACGTTTCAGCACTGTCCGGCCGCTGAACTGAGCTGCAAGACACGGTACCATGGCCAGGATACCTGTTGCTTTAATTACCCGGGGGGTCAGATGCTACAGACGCAATTCTGGGATGCTGACCCCGCCGTCGGACCAGAGACTGCCTGGACAATTCATGGCCTATGGTGAGTTTGATTTAAGTTCTCTTTTGGCACCAGGTCAATTGCCTAATTACTCATCTCAACCATTCAACTGACTCTATCTCTTCCCTATAACTAGGCCGGACCACTGCAACGGCGGGTTCGACCAATATTGCGACTCGAAGCGCAGATACAGCAATATCTCGTTAATTCTAGTTGATGCTGGTCGTGGAGATTTGCTCGACTACATGAGTACATACTGGAAAGACTTCCGTGGCGATGACCTGAACCTCTGGGAGCACGAATGGAATAAGCACGGCACCTGCGTCAGCAGCCTTGAGACACACTGCTATACGGAATATATCCCTCAGCAGGAAGTTGTCGACTACTTCGATAAGACAGCTGATCTATATCGGGATCTACCCACTTACGAGGTGTGCTTCTCTCCATTTCTGACGACTCACAAACCTATAATACGATGCACTAACAAGCTGGATTACACAGACCCTCGCCAAAGCCAACATTCTTCCCTCCTACACCAAAACCTACACTCGCCGCGAGATTGAGGATGTGCTGTCCCAATCCCACGGTGCAGAGGTCACGATCCGCTGTCGTCATGGATCTCTGAACGAAGTATGGTACTATTTCAACGTCGCGGGCCCTCTGGTATCTGGAAAATTCGTTCCCTCGGACCCAGGTGAGTGTCATCCACCCTCCGCAACTAAGATTGCCTCCCGCCTTCAATTACCCTAATGCTAAAATATGTATAATCTGTAATAGACGGCCAAGTTTCCAATTGCCCTGCCTCCGGCATCCGCTATCAGCCTAAGACGCCACACCACGGCCACGAACCCACAAAGACAACCACGCACAACCCGTCGGATCCGACGTCACCCCCCGGTGCTCCCTTTCAGGGTCGAGGAAACCTCATGATCTCGACGATGGGGCAGAAGAGAGGGTGCATTATCAGCCGCGGGGCGTGGTTCAGCTCAGGCACCTGTGCAACTTTCACTGCGAAGAAGACAACCGGTATGGTCATCCCATCCCAAGCCCTCCCTGCAAATAATCGCTCCTCTCTTTCAGCACACCCCCCTCGCCCCGCTTCCCCGATTACATAAATTCATTCTTCCTTCAGAGAGAATAATCATCTAACAACGTTTTAAATTCAGATGAACTTTTCACCCTCCACTCCAGCAAGGGCAATTGCGGCTTCGCCAAGGATATCTTTACATGCGGTGGTGCCGTGCACAAGGCGCAAGAATTTAGCGTAAGCAGACATGAAACCCTTTCCACCCTCCCCCAGCCCCTTTTTACCTCCTTATTCCTATCTTATCCATCAGCGATCCGAGCTACAAGCAAAGATGATATTAATGTTTACGTAAATCCAGGTTGACGATGGCAAGCTCGCGTATAACGGCAATTCGACCTTCTTTGCAGACAAGGCTCCCAAGGGCCCGACGAAGAGTAAGGTCTTTGCGTCGCAGGAGGACCACCAAATTGAGTTAGCAATCACATGGAGACCGGATTATTGAGCTTGATGCTCTTTTTTCCAGGCGTCCCGTCTTGCTTTCGAAGAGGGGGGGGTTCTTGTTTCTTTTTGCGGGTTCATCTAGATTTCTTTCCGAGTAAGAAGTGGTGCAAGGGATGTTGGTTATGGTTATACTAGATCTTCCGTGTGTGTATGGGTGTGTCTATGTTTTATGTTCAAGGGGTCAGGGCGATGTTGCTTATATATAGATAAGAAAACCATCTATGCTATGGTTACACAATGGAGATAGACTGCATGTGATTCCTGCATCACTCATACTTCACATCGAAAGAACAATCCTAAACAGGCAGGCACCACCGACAATTGGAAATCACCAACCCGTTCGTGCTTTCCCCTGAGACTACGTGGCAGCAAAAGTGTTTGCAGCCGAGTCAACTACAGTCCAGACAAGGCTAGTTCCCTCAATGTAAACCTAATCCGGCAAGCACTGAAAATATCGAAAAAAAAAATATTACTACTAGTAAGTAGACTCGTCAAGAAGTTAAGAGTACTAACACACAAAGTAAACGAGTGTCCGAGGACTTCGTGGTCTCTCGCATTACATCCCCACAAAAAGATCCAGGTTCCGTCCATTGGCAAACACAAAGCAACGAACAGAGAGGTATTGTGGAGCAGGAGCATTGTAAATAGCAGAAAAAACACAGAATGGGTGAATAGCAAATCAAAGCGCATGTTATAGCGCAATGCAGGAAGGAGAAGAAAGGATAAAAAAGGTCCAAGTGGACAAACGCACATTTCGTTTCAGCAGGTCAATCAAATCAGTATTCGAATAAGAGACACAGAATAAAAAGGTTTTTTTTCGAACAATCCATAGCACAAAATCTCAATAAGCGACGTTTCGAAAATCACAGAAACACGTAATAGCAACTGAAGAGAAAGGACGACCTGTAGAGAACTCCGTAAATTGGCAAAAGGGCATAATCCACAAGTCCCAGCGGGAAGGAGGGGGGTTGGTCGTACATGGGTTTCGTTGCAAATAGAGGCATCAAATCATAGAATCATTTTGCAATTCGAAAAGCGAAAGTCGTTCGTCCGGGATGGCACGGGAAAACACATGGGCAGCGAAGCAAAACATTTTCTTTGTCACAGGTAAAAATCAATCGAAGTGGTTCAACGTCTGAAAGTGAGAGAAATGGAGTGGGTGGGAAGGAGTTCTTCGTGGGAGGACATTGTGTACATATGTTCGTGTCGAGTCTGTCTTGGAATTGGGGGAGGGGGCAAAGGCAAAGGGGTCATATCTTATATGCATGGTTCCAAATCGTTCAGTCCTAAATCGTCAAGAGTCTTGTTGCACATGGGTCGTTAGCCTGAGGTCATCGCGTCGTAAATCGCTGGTCGTAATAAATTCACCTCGAGATCGTGGTCGTAGTTGTCGTACTTGTCTGTTCAATCCATGAAGAATTCCTTGGACGCGGCATCTGCGGCTTGCTCGTCCACTTGGAACTGGAAGAAGAAATCGTCACCCATGGTAGGGCCCGGTAGGTAGCCTTTGGCGGGGAATAGATCCATCCCATTCTCGAATGTCGCCGTGTTAACGTAATCGGGGAAGGCAGCCATGTCGGTCTCAGTCAGATCACTGAATTCTTGTTTAGCAAAAGTTGCAGTGGATTCTTGACTGATGAAGATATCGAGCTCAGAGCCGGTAGACGCATCGGTCAGGGTTGGGGCTGAGTGCGGGGAAGATAGACCATTGGTGATTGAGCCGGAGCCGTCGTTGTAAGTGCACGACTCGTGATCCGACAAGTAGGGAAGGCTAGAGTCGGACATCAATCGGTGCAAGGGTTGCTTGATCGGCGAAGGTAGCATCTCGTCCTCGGTGTTAGGGCTAAGCGATCGATGGCTTTGGGCCGGAGACGGCTTATTCCCGGTGCTGGGGCCTGGAGACGCGGGTGGCGTGAAGGTGAATACTTCCGGAGGCAGCGAGTAGTTCGGGTTGCTGAAGACCGGCATCTCTTCCGAAGGGCTCGAACCGTGAAGACTCATGTCCTCGAAGACATCAGACGGCGGGGTGCTGCGCAAGGAATCAGAAGCAGAAGAATCGAAAGATCCCTTTTCCGCGATACGCTGACGGGTTCTGGCGGCTTTTTCCTGTCTCTCATCCATCTCTGGCCGGTGCTTCTTCGGACGACCACGCTTCGTGGTCTTGCGGACAATGCCCTTGTACCCACCGATGCACATACCACGCTGTCGGTGTCGAGTCAAGGCATCATGTCTCGCGAACACATTACCGCACAAGCATTCGTAAGGTTTGTCTCCCGTATGGATTTTGGCGTGCCGTTTCAAATCATGACCACGGACAAAGCATTTGTTGCAGTGGTCGCACTTGTATTGGCGATCTCCGAGGTGGGTCTGTACGTGCGATTTGATGTTCTCCTTTCGGCCGAAGCGACGTTCGCAACCGGGGTGCAAGCATACCCATTTACCGTCTTCTGGGTCCGGTCCGTGAATGAAAGACGCGATCTCGTCAATGGTGACTCCGGTTTCTTTGATTGATGCCTGCACGCGGGCGTCCAGGTTAAGACTATCGATAGATGCGACTCGCGGGGAGAGCTTGGGCTTGGCTGCGGTGCTAGGAGTTGCGCTCGGGGTCTTCCGGTGATTCATGCGGTTGGGGGTCGCGGGATAGATGGGCAGCTTCTGTGCTTTGCCACTCCCATTTTCGGGACAAGGCATGGCTGCGAGCTCAGGTGACGAAGCGAAGGACGACGTGGCTGATGACGACGAGGCATACGGCCCTTGTGACAGACTCTCCGACTTAGGAACCTCGATGTTAGAACCCTGCTCATAGTCAAAAGTATCAAACGAATCCACTTCAAAGGATGCTGTGGTGGGGGGAGAGGGCATGTTAAACTTCTGCTGGGAAAATGTAGTTCCAACTACGCCTTGGAGAGACTTCGCTCGCTGCATGTACGAGGCCTGCGCGGCACCGGACATAGGGAAGCTTTGCTCCTTGGTTGAGGAAGGTTGAATATCCGAGTTGTAGTGCTGCGCAAGGCCCACAGGGGTGGCTGCAGGTGTAATCAGGCCATATTCTGCGCAAGTGATTAGCGCCGGGTGGTTACAGGACAGAAGATGTCGGAGACTTACGTCCGCTGCTATGCTTTGGCGCATGCCCTAGGTGCGGCGGACTGACAGTCGGTGCCGCTGACAGTCGTCTTACGTCCAGAGTCATAGCATTAGCTTGTTGCTGCTGAAATGCTGCAGCGATATTGTTTTGTTGGTAGACATCCCAAGCTCCATTGTCCAAGATCTGGCCCTCCAAGGATGCTTGACAAGGCAGTTTCGTATCTTGGAGCTGATGTTGTGCCATGAGGTTGATCGAGATGTTCATTGGCTGCTGGTCTTCCACCTTGACAAAGTTCGCGTTCATGTAAGGCATGTTCGGTGGAACTCCTTGGCTTTGACGAGCAGCAAAGGACTGCGCATTTTCTTGAGGGAAAGCCTGGCACTCAGCCATCATAGGCATATGCGCCGGATGGTGGGGGAAAGTTGGCTGCGCGACTCGGAGGAAGCGCTGGTCTTGAGCGGCTGCCAACATAGTCGGGTGATGTTGCGGTACCTCTAGGTTAGTAGTCATGGTACCATCTTGCATGGACTGCGATCGCTGAACGCGCATGGCGCGCGCATCGAAGCTTTGGCCTCGGCGATGAGCGTGAAGTCGTTGCATTGCTTGAGCGGGAAGAGTTGGAGGTTTGACGGCATCAAGAGCGGATGGCGTTGAGATTTGTCTCCGATGTTGACGATGTCGTTCTTGGTAATTGCTGTGGGGTGCGGACAGCATGACGTGAGAACGAACTCGAATCTTCGCGCGCTGGTCGCAAATTGTTGAGCTGATGATGCGACCGACTTCTTGATCAAGTCTGCAGGTTATAAAGGTGTAAGCCTGCCGGCTCAATGCTAATACGCGAATAGAAATAGAGTCATTCAGCATTGGGGTACCAACCTCTTCGCTGCACAAGCCAGAAGGCTGGGCCAAGCAGATGGTAGTAAACCGCCCTGGAACTGTGTCAGTCGGTGATCTCCTGAAGAAAGGAACTCACGCGCGCAGAAGTTCTAGGTGGTTAAGCTAGGGCAGGTCAGATGGAAGAGAGTGAGTTTCAAAGTATCAAAGTGAACTGTGCGTCAGATCTATGCAAAGTGGGTTCTGCGACAGTGCTTCTAGATCGTCGATGCAGTGAAAGCTGCAACCGAAGCCTTTTTTTTTCTCTCCCTTTCTATTTCTTCAAGCCTCGTCCAGTCGCGATTGCGAAACTGTCTTTGAAGCACCGGGTCTAACGGGGCAGAAAGACTGGGGAAGAGCAAGGCAATGGAAGACTAAGGGTATTTAGAGGTGGGAACCAAGGTAGGTGGATGGAGAAGCTGAAGCTATCCCGATCTACCGACCACGGTTCAGATCAACAATGGCGGCGTTGGCGTAGCAACGCGGCTGGGTTGAGGCGTCAGGACAACCAGCGCCCCTTGGCATGGGAGGCCGCCAGTTGCAGTGGATCGCGCCCTGGTCCAAACGCACTTTTTAGGCCGTAAGCCAGCAAGCAGGGTTTTTGGTCGGGCCCTGCAAGGAGCCGGTTTTCTTTTGGGTTCTCTGGGTTATCTGGGTGTTCCCCTGCGCGATCCAGAAGTTCCAGACGCCAGCTGCACCGCGGTTCAGCTCCCGTTGGCAGTCCCATCCTGTCGCGGATCGAAGCCGTCTGTAGGCTGTGAGGGTTCGAAACATTATTTACTACATGACGCTCCCTGTCTCTGCAATAGTCTTGTTAATAATTGTGAATGTTAAGAAGAAGGGGTGGAGAACAGGATGACGATGACGATATAAGTGCGGTCAAGGTTGGATTAAGTGGAGTCGATTACAAGCTGGATATCGTCCCCGGGGCTTTTACCGACGGGGGCCCATCGGGCTGGGCGCCAAGTTTTTCAGGCAGTGAATGACGCAGGGAAGGCTGGGACTATCGATCACAGTCACATGATTGAGAACTTTCACGTGATGCCCTTGAGCACCCGGAGAACAGATAATCCGAGAGGGGTGACACTAAGCCCAGTCAGGAAGATTCTGCTCCACGTGACCGCACAACCGATTTTAACGAACGGCCCTCCACACCATAGATAATTTCTCTCTTCACGATCGTCACTGAAGGTTTAGGAAGACAAGTCTTGTCGAGGTTAGTTGAACGCCCCCCTATGTTTGCCATGACCCTGCGATCGCAAATCACAGGATCTTCATCTTCACCCCTGTCTCCTTTCTTCGTTCATCGCCCTCGTATCATCTCCTACCGCACGAATAGTTCTGCGTGAGACGATCCCCGGGCGGCGAAGCAGAATGCAGGATGAGGGGTGAGGACCATTTTCCTGAAAAAATGCTATCGCAGAAGCACCATCGAAGAAAACGCTTCAGCCACAAAGACTAACCATCGCCCTTGCTCTACAGACCTTCATCAAGATGCAGATCTTCGTCAAGACCCTTACGGGTAAGACTATCACCCTTGAGGTGGAGTCCTCCGACACCATCGACAATGTCAAGTCCAAGATCCAGGGTTAGTGCCACACCACCATCGGGATTCGCTCCCTTCCCCCAAAGGTCCGGAATCGAATTTGGCTAACGCATCTCACCTAATCTAGACAAGGAGGGTATCCCCCCGGACCAGCAGCGTCTGATCTTCGCTGGTAAGCAGCTCGAGGACGGCCGTACTCTTTCGGACTACAACATCCAGAAGGAGTCCACCCTCCACCTCGTGCTCCGCCTGCGTGGTGGTGGTAAGAAGCGCAAGAAGAAGGTCTACACCACCCCCAAGAAGATCAAGCACAAGCACAAGAAGACCAAGCTCGCCGTCCTCAAGTACTACAAGGTCGACGGTGATGGCAAGATTGAGCGTCTTCGCCGCGAGTGCCCCTCCCCTGAGGTATGTCTTTGCTCCTCCCGGATTCATTTGCTCTTTCCTATGGTTCAATCCACTAATTCGTCTCAACAGTGCGGTGCCGGTATCTTCATGGCTGCCATGCACAACCGCCAGTACTGCGGCAAGTGCCACCTCACCTACGTCTTCGACGAGTCCAAGTAAATTGGTCTTTGACGAGTCGCCTATCTTTCGCTGAAGCTGGGATTGTTCGGGTTTACTTAAATTCGGGACTGTGATGGTTGCAGAGATGGATATGTGAGGGAAATGGATCGTGTGCGTTATGATCGTTCCATTACAACAAATTAAGACAAGCAAAATGAATCAAAAAAAATTCGCAAAAAAAAAAAAAACCAAAACCGCATGCAATCTTAGCTATGTAGAACTCGTGTATATGTCCATCAATAAGTAAAATCGGCATGTTTCTCCCTCAACCCGATATTTGCATACGGCCCTCACTGGAAACCATTCTTCAGATTGTCATACTTGCTCTCAGGGTAAGACAGTGCGTTCTGCGACTGGTCCAGCGACGAAAGCCCGCCCACGCCTTCGACGAAGGTCCCGATCAAGCTGCCGTCCGACTTATTCGCGGTCTTGCCTCCCTTATCGCCGCTCAGCTCCCACCACATCCCGCCACCGAGCTGCTTCTGAATAATGTAGGCCAGCTTCTGCGCTCCGACGGCGACCGTGTCGTAGGAGATCATCGTGCGGGCGCTCGAGTCGTAGCTCCAGGACGCCCCAATGCTGGCATCGACGTTCTCGGTGGCCCCAGCCTGTGGCAGGGCCTTGTAGTCCCAGACGCCATTCTCCCAGCTTCCCCCGCCGACGCCTGAAAAAGCCGTGCCGGGTCCGTCGGTGTTGGTAAAGGCGCGCCCGTACAGCGGCATTCCCAGCACCAGCTTCGCCGATGGAACGCCGCCGACCTGGGTGTAGTAATTCACGGCCTCGTTGGTCGAGAACGGAGTTGAGGCGGGTTTGTCGGAGGAAGGATAGATGTTGGCTTGGTGGCCCGCAACAGTGTCCCAGCTTCCGGCGTAGTCGTATGCCATCAGGTTGTAGAAGTCCAGATACTGCGTCATCTGAGACAGCTTGAGCTTGGTGTAATTGGCCGGGCCTATTGACAGGATCAACCGTTGGTTGGGTCTTGTGCCAGACTAGAGGTGAGATTTGCTTACCAGCAGGGCAGGCAATGGTCAGGTAGAACTTCCTACTAGAACCTGCTGCAGCATCCAGCGTCTGGACCAGTTAGCGAAAAGCCACACTATACTTTTGAAGTGATGCACAGACCTCGCGGCATTTCTGGAGGAGCGATACCATGTTTTGGGCTTCGGTATCGTCTGCCTGTGTATCAGCACTATACTCCAGTACACGTATCAGGCTCCAGGGTCTGCTGACCTTTGGGGTACTCCCAATCGATATCGATACCTATAGCGTCCACAGTCAGTAATCCTCACATGCTGACCAAGAAGACAGGATTGATCCAATACCGTCGAACCCAAGATCCGTGACCAACTTGGTGGCCGTCGTAGCAAAATTGGCACGGTTAGCATCCGAGGCGGCCGCGCCAGGGAAGTTGGACGAGTACGTCCATCCACCAATGGATAGGAGGACCTTCAGCTTGCGGTTCTGCTGCTTGAGCAGGAACAACTGCTTGACGCATCCATAGACGTTGGTGCCAACGTCATTCCACGAATCGGTGGGATAGTGCTTCTCGATGTCCGACCAGGTGTCGGAGAGGTAGCTATGCACATGTTAGCCGAGCTGATCACGGCGGAGAAGGATACTAGTTGGGACCGGCTCACACTTCGCCAGTCTCGGGCCGAACATTGGCAAAGGCGTAGAGAATATGGGTCAACTTGTCCGCAGGGATGTCCTGGGGGTTATAGTTGCGTCCGTAGATCGCCTAGAGTATGGTTAAGCAGGACGGTTCCCTTCTCTGACGGCCATGATGAGGCTTACCCAGTTGACGAAGTACGCCACCGACTTTAGTCCGGTAGACATGGTTGTTGGTGTTGAAGTATTGGCAAGGGTACTTGCAGAGTCAGAATGCAGTGGAGGAAGTCTTGGACTACTATCACCGAAGTATCGAAATGAGAATATGAGCACGATGGTTAAAACAACGAGGAAATGGATGGATGCAGAGCAAACCATGATGCGCAGGAAGTGCTCAGCTATTTAAGCCTTGTCTGGGGTTCAAAGTCAGTGAGAAAGTTGGTCGTTTGTCGCAGTGTAGTGTCTGGCGTTCTTCGAAGAGTGTGACGTTGGTGGATAGTCTAAGTCTAGCTTCTGGCGGGCTCCGGGGATGATCCCGCTGCGGACGCCTTAGCCGGTTAGTACCAGGTTGGTAAAATCCACTATAGCGACTATACCTTCTATACCTACCAATACAATCCATAAGTCATGCTGCACAGGCCCGGAGACCACCTCAAGGTTTACTAAAAGGATTCTAGGTTTGAGATTCCACTACCCTCATGCTACCTACCCCGTCCCCAGTGATGAGATATTGCAACCCTGGCTCCCATGATTCACCCCTCGACGACTCGACTTTATCTGATAGCCGTCATGGGTTTGAATCATGATGCTCAGTTCTGGTTGGGCAGGCTGCTCAAGACCACGAGCCTCGGCCTATCCGATCTGGAATCCGACAGTATAGGAAGACGTGGCCGAAATCCAGGTTCGCATGACAAATAACCCTTTTTGATCTCCATCACTTGAGACTCTCTAAGGCTTTTGACCCTCGGCTATATACGCTTATTCGTGAGATCGACCAGGGGTGCGAGACCCAGAAGTCGACCACGCGGGATATGGCGGTTGCCTCGCAGCTCGGTGCGATAGTATAGTTATTTCTTCTTCCCGATATGCATTCGTCCCAATCGACAGCATGATGGCAGAGTCACACAAGGAATGACTACAGCCACAGTTGTAAAGCATGATCGGTGTAAGAAGGAGACAGTATTGCAGACTTTCGATCTGAGACTTAATGCCACTGCAGGAGCTAAGGTTGGCGATAGGCTTTGTGCATTCCGCGCTTGTGATCACCTTTAAAAGGTTGATGGTTTTGTTTATTCTTCCTGTCATCACCCGATCAGGCAGTGCTTCTTACATAATCAAAGGCGAGCAAGCCACCTTTACTCCACCTCCTTCTCAGCCACTGTTGCACACTTCTAATCTTGGATGGATGATCTGGTGATGAATTATTGTCGTGGTGCCAGACGGAGTACTCTGCCACAGACAGATTACCCATGTCCGATCCAGCAAGCGAAGCAAAGATTCTCCGCCCTCCGCCGCCACCACCTCCACCTGCAGACCCATACCTCAAGATATCTCACTACGTCGCAAAGCTCAAAAAAACCCCTCCCAGTCAATTCTACCAGGCATGCAAGCCAGCACCCGCGGTGGACCTGCTAGCCGCTTGTAGTGGTCCATACTTCTTCTACGGCACACTCACCGATCCCTCGCTGCTCGCTGAGATTCTCAAGCTAGATGAGACACCCAGACTACGACCGGCATACATACTAGGCTACTGCTGCAAAATGTGGGGTCAGTATCCCGCGTTGCTCGATGCTCCAGGCTCGGTTGTTCAAGGTGCGGCGTATCATGTCCGTACCTCGCAAGATGCAGCAAGGCTTGCTGCGTACGAGACTGGAAGCTACCGCGTGGAGGCCTGTCTGATCCGCTACACAGATGGCGAAGAACCGGCGGAAGACCTTGGGCAAACTTTCAAGTTTGTTGGTGACACGAGAGACTTGAGCGCAGGCGAGTTCGATCTGAAAATCTGGTTGAGACGGATGGGGAGGCATGCTGCGGCTGATGGGCTGGAAGTGGCTAGTAGCGAGAAGTAGCGGAACAGATCTTGACGGAGATCACCCAGATATCACAGTAGTGATTTGTCGCTGATCCTTTCCTGACTAAAAGCCCCGGGGTTCAAAAGTCCCCGGATTCTTGTGAAGGCGCCATGGCTGGCAATCACAGTCAGAGAAAGAGCCTATCCAGATTCCTTCTCTGCCCTTTTTTTGAGCAAGGAGATTCTCTCATTAGCCTCAAAGCGCACCGAGGGTCATTCGGCATGATGACCGCGAAGAATACGGTAACTGACTTTCCCCCCTGTGTCACGATGGCCACGAAGAAAAGGCACAGGTGGTAAAACATTTTCAAATATGGAGTAGACCTTGCCACTCAGATCTAAAGGATGTAGATTGCCCATACACCAGCACGTATGCATAGTAGCGTGCCTGTACTCTGCCTGGTGCACAAGCTTGCCTCCCAACGACATAAATAGGGACAATACCCCCGGGGAGTGGACAACCCCTGGTACCAAGGGTGCAGATTGTGCATGATGCATATGCATGGGCCAGAGTGAACAGATCGATCTCAACACAGCCCCTGCTGCACCATGCGTCGGACCAACACATAGGGGCCGGAATGCATGAATCTGTCAAGACATAGCAAGAAGACGGACTTGGTGGCAGGTATCTATGCGAGGTGGGGAGGTATAGTCAGTCAGTCACCCATGGACCATACAGTGCAGTGGGAGCAACGTGGCTGCCACAACCTCGTGGCCGACCTCGCAGTCATGCCAGTCTTGGCGCCTCCAGGCAAAGAGGAAATACTTCGAAACACATTCTGATGCTGATCCCTCCCCATCAAAGTCCAGCTGTAGTCCGAACAAACCGATAAACGCCTCAGAAACATACTCCGTACGGGAGTGATGATACAGATGTGAAAGGGGAAATCTCCTCCCGAACAACCTCAGCTGAACCGCCCACCTGCCCACCCCACCCACTCCCTCCCAATTGGCTTCCTCAGCATTAACCTCCATCCTGCAGCATCCGTCAATTTTTTCAATTTCCTCGCGGAATCCTGGATGATTGCACGGCCACACCCCTCCATTCAAGCCCCAACTTCCATTGGACCACGAAGTACAACAAAAGGCAGCCAAAACTGCCAAGCATCCATCCCGTGCTAAAAAAAAAAAAAATTGAAAATCGTCATAGGGCAGGGAACAGCACACTGCATGCACACAAACCGAACTGGTCTGGTCTGACTCTGACCCCATCTCAGCCCATTTTTCTCTCTTTGTTGCAAATCGCAATTGCAAGTTACTGCCAATCTGACTCCACACCAAAGATACTTCAGCTGGAATGTCCAGGACAAGGGCCCTCAGGGGGTCCCGACTCCACGGGTTTAATGCACGTTCGGTATCTCCGGCAGTGTGAAGCCCTACGGGGTTTCATGTCGAGTGCTACCATGCTACGTAGGAAATTGTACTGTGTTGGTAGACTCCACTATCCAGCTTTCTGCGTGGTATCAGCCCTGCTCGGACGTCCGATCGGATGAGAATTGTCTTTGCTATGGTTTCCGCCAATCGGATCCGGGGTGTAGGGCTGTCATCATGGATGGATTACGGACTGATCAGTACCTAAGTAATTATCTTACTTCCCTTTTGATCGCTTCAGATTTGTTTCAGGATTTTCCCTAGGGATTTACCTCAGAACCGAGTACATAGTACGTAGTAGCGGGGAATCTGAGTGATTCGTCGTCGAGTACACAGTAAGTCTACGAGACAAAAATGGCTCCATTCTGCGGTTCTCCACTCCTAACCGCCGGGACCCACTGGGCCAAACGGAGTTCACCGTCAACGATGTGACGGTCTATCTCAATTGGATGAGTCGGGATCTGCCACGCACTGGAATAGCAGGACCGTTACAGGTGCTATCAGATAGGTTTAACGGGCTACACAGAATTGTGATTGTGCGGAGCAGAAATCAATTGAACGATGAAGAAATTGAGATAGTATCATAAACATGGAGCATACTCAGCCAATCAATTCACATCTAGCGTATATCAACGAATCCAGGGATATCATAACCATCAACACATATTCAAGTACACCACAAGGACAAATCGAGAAAAAAAAAGAGTATCTTTCCAAGGCAGCTTTTCCTTTCTTCAAGTCAATTGTCAGCGCCAGCGCTTGACAAGAAGAAGTACATCCCGCGTCAGTCAGCGAGCGCTCTCCCAATGGTACTGTAATCCCGCAAAAATAAACATCATCGTACCCAGACACCATCCAGTCGACTACCTCAGCTCAGGGGTGAGACCGAATCCACTGAAGGATTGTGGACAAAGAAGGGTCCTCATTGAGCCAATGGCCCGCCCGTGTATCGGCTGCACGGAGATCAGCAACCACGTACTGCTCTGTCACCTGGGCCAATTCCTGAGAATAAGGGTCAGTAAGAACTGGTGATTATCCCAGGCTACGCGGTCAGACACTCACAGCATGGAAGGTGTTGCTTGCGTTCTTCAGTTGAGCCGCGTGCTGAGGTCCGGGCCGCTGCCCGCGCAGGATGTTCTGTCGGTTGAGGACCCATCGTCTGGCGGCTGCCACCTTCAGGTAGATGCGATGCGCCTGGAAGCGCCTGGCGCTTGCGTCGAGGATAACCCTGGACGAATTGATGTTAGGGGCTGGGGCTCCTTGAAGCGCGAAAGAAAGCAGAAGTGGAGGAAATAGTGATGACGGCATACCTCCGCAATTCCGCCTTTTCGATCTCCGCGTTGTTATGCGCTGGTGTCGCGCAAGGGTTGTAAGTGGACGACATCAAAGCTTGCGCAGCAGCCAGCCCGTCTCGGATCACTTTGTAGCCTTCCTCATTGTAGTCATCGGAGGGGGCTTGCACACTCTGCTGGGTGATATGCATAAGAAGGGTGCGGTAGTCGTTGATGATCTCCGCCACTCGCAGGGCGCGAGCTTGGTTAACTGGGACACCAGGATCGATTAGCTCTGCTTCTCCATATTTGGTAATGATGTCGCTTCCAACTATGACGGCAAAGAAGGCTACCAATACTTACGTCCATCGGCCATTGCGAATGTGCGGTGGTTGACTTTGTTGATATATGGTATATAGTATCGAGGAATGACCAATGATCAGATCCCAAGGAGATAAAATGAGTCCAGAAGGTATGGGTCGGCCACGGCCAGTCAACTGGATAAAAGAATATGCTAAACAAAGAGGCAAGCCCAAGCCAATGGATCGGAAACAGAAGGCAATGAGGTCGTCTAGCCCAGAGAAGGAAGAGTGTTGGTTTCAGATTCTACGGTCCCATGGCTGAGGAGGCGATATCCTTTTAAGCATATTACCCTCACCATGGTGCCAAATTCAAGCGATGGGAATTGTGCTGGAAGGGGATCATCATCGTCATCCACCGTGGCTGGCTGCACCATTGGAGAAGCCGATGGAGCAAGGACAAGACATCGCGGCGAGAGATGGCAGCTGGATACACCAGCCATAGTGGATCAACGGCAGGAGTCAAGCCCATGAGAGCCATGTGTCCGAGGAGCTTGCACTATCTGGGCTCCGGACTGGAGCGAGGGCTGATATCTAAGCGTGGTACTTAGCAGCTGGCCCTGGAACAGGAACCCAGCACTAGGCTGATGGGGCTTGCATAAGATCCTGCATAGTAAGTTAACAAAAAAAAGAACCAGAAAGGATACATCCGAGCCGATGCAGAAAATCTTTATTTCACACAATAAATCGATTGCAGGTACCAATTTGAGAATCCACTGACTCAATGGTATCAGATAAAAATACTCTTAACTTAAGAGAACCCCACTTGTTTGTAGCCGATGGGACTGCGAAGAGTCACGGGAAACATGATAAACAGATAGTACCAGATCTCGGTGAACAGCCCGTGCTGTCACTGCAGTAAGTTGTGTGCACTGACTCGGTGGGGAAAGCGTCATCGTGGCATGATGACTAGAGAAAGACACTCCAGCTGGAGAGTCCTCGCTTCCTTACGCCACACTTCCAGTAGTACAGGTTGATTCGGAGTCATCGTGTTCGGAGATATGGTTTACACAGGATAAGTGGCTGGAGAAGCCATTATTAGGTACTGAATACTGATAGTGCCTTCATTATGGATCCAAAGAAATCAAGAAGTATTAGCCGCCGACAACCAAAGCGCCAGTGGAGAAGCCAAAATTCACTGTGACAAAGTGACAACACAAAAGAAAAGGAAAAACCCCAATGGTTAAGCCACATCCCCAGCTCAGCCACACCGGGCAACAGCTGAAAACGGAAAAGCAAACCCACGGCGGCACCAGCCTCAGGCTTAACCTACTGACTCGAACTTCTTCTTCTAATACGTGTAGACTCTCCGGCTCACCGTGCATATAGTAGTCACGGTGGCAAACTCACTTCATGGGCAAGAGCTTACCGGATGCTCGAGCGTTGCCCGCTTCACTCCCAGCACCTGCATTATAGGCACGTCTTACTCCACGCTCTCAGTGTAATGGCTGGTCAATGTCGAATATCCCAGTGTTTGGCCGCTGCTTCCTTTAGAACTTCGCTCCCTTGACCTATCTCAGCGAGCCTGTCATCTTGCAGCAAGGTTTCCATGTCTATCACCTCGAGTTGGACCCCTGTTTGGAATTGCCACTGTCTGGAGAAGTGAGTGGGATTGCTTCGCTAACTCCGACTCCGATGCACGGGATACTTTCCAAGATCTGAGATCGATCGGCAACTGGAAAGACAAGGGAAAGCAGGGTACGCAAGAACAAGATAGGGGTTATCATTCAAGGTTCAATAGTAGCGTCAGAAAAGTAATATTCATGGATCGTTTGCCTCTACCGACATGGATGCTCGCTCAACTCGATTAGTCAATTAGTCCTTTTCGCTGATGGCCTGCAGCCGCTCGTCGATCTCATCCTCCGTCAGGGCACGGAAGCTCGGATCTGTGCCTTCTTTGCCATCAGCCCGAGGCCCTCCAACAATGCCAATTTCCAGCTCGTGCTTCTTGAAATCGACGCTCAACACGTTGCTCAAGGCGGTGATGCCCAGCTCGACCACCTCCTCCCAGCTGCCCTCGGCATAGTCCTTGTTCTTCAGCTTCTTCTCCAAATGATTCAGCGCCTCCTGCTGCTTGGGACCGGATGCGGTCGCCTTGTAACCGACATAGTAACCGGCAGGGTCGCATTTGTAGAGTTGCGGGCCCTTCTCATCATCCACGGAAATAAGGGTCATAGCAACGCCGAGCGGGCGCATGTAGGCCTAAGAAGATGATATTGCATTAGTAAAGATTCTCTCCTAATGTTCACAGATCAAAAGTCATCAAGGCACGAACCCGTTGCGTGTAGACCTGGTTGATATTGGCAAGGCGCTTGGCAAGAACATCACAGGGCATCTCGTAGCCGTACTTGTATCGGAACTCGGCCGCCTCTCCACGGGCACGGTCAACGCTCGCTCTGGCATCGGCGATGGAGCCGGTCATAACACATCCGACAGACGGCGAAAGCTTGAAGATATGCGAAACGGAAGAGGGGTCGATCAATTTATCCTAGGCTGGTCGTTAGGTCGTGCGGTACGTTCTGGGTCTGCCATAAACTTACAGCAACCTTCTTCTGCGACAGAACAACGGCGCAGTTCTTTCCTCTGACACCTAGCGAAGTGATATTTGCGGAGGTGATTGCCTTGAAGGCATATTCTAGATGCCGACGGAAGTCGATGGTAAGTCAACTGTTCGGCAGTCGGTTCGAGCGTCACCGGGCGGCGGATTGAAGATTTCTGGCGAAGGAGAGGCTTACCAACTTGATACAGACGACCTTGGTCTGAGAAGATGGTGATGTGTCTATCGTAGGCGCTTCCTGTTCACCAAAGCTGCCAGTCAGTCGATGAAGTCATTCAATCTAGCACAATCGGATGGGTTATGTCCCTACCAGACATGGCTGCGGCGATATGTGTAAATCAGCGACTAGATATTCAAAGTCAACTGGAAAAGAGGTTGCAGAGCAATCAGGGATGCAAAAGCGTAGTAATGGAGAGGTTTCGGAGAACGGAGGATGAGGATAGAGGCAGAGGACGCGTGCCAGAGGGTGCCTGGCCGAAGCTCCAAGCTTCGGGGCTCCGTTGAGTAAGCTCCAGTCACCGCCTTCTCCGTCTCTGTCGGAGCCGCTCTGCCACTTCCAGCAACAAATCTACTCAGCGCTCATTTTAATGGTAAGCTTATTGTCCATAAAATCTCGCTTTCATATCAAGTGATGGGTTTTAGGTATATACAGAGGTCTATATGTCTAACAATGCACTATGAAGAAATCAAAGCGGCAATAATCTCGGATTCGAGTGACAGCCGCTCCTGTATGCTCGAACCAGGTATCACGAACTTTTATGCTCAAAGTCATGTGGAGGTGGATAGCCATGAAGTATGAGTGAAATGGGATCATCAATCACATGAAAGCGCGAAGTACAGAGACCAGTAGGCCCACTCCACAGTCAGAAACATGCGCTTTTAGTGATTAGTCGCTATCGCTGTCGCTGCTGCTGCTCTCATCCGAAGATGAATCTTTCTTGGCTGGACTCTTGGTTTTCTTCTTCTACTCAGCATCGCTGTCGCTGTCACTGGAGCTGTCGCTCTCGCTGCTGCTGGAGATCTCGATGATTGCGGTCCTGTTCTTCTTCTTCTTTTTGCCTGGTGTCTGGTTCTTCTTTGCCATGCGCGGGGGAGCCTTGGGTTTCTCGAACAAGCCACCAGTGACAGCCCAGAAGATGAGTTCCGCACGATGTCTCTTCTGTAGCCTCTGTAGTTGCGTCGCATCGAGCCCCTCGGTGTCTTGCTGATTATCAAGATTCTCTTTGCCCCCCGATAGAAGTGTCCGAAACGAGGCCACAGCCTTCTTGTAGCTGGGCTCGGGAGCCGTATCATTGCTCTCCTCAGCGCCATCCGTCTTGTCCTCCTCAGCTTGCTTCTTCTTCGTCTCGTCTTCCTCCTTGTCCTCCACCTCCACATCCGCCTTGATGACCTCCTCGGCGATCTCCTTCAACCGGAGCTTCGCCCCCTCGCTCTTCAACCCTTGGAGGTACGCCAGCAGCGCAGCATTGTACTGGGCGGGGACCTGCTCCAGAGACAAAATATGCTTAAACAGATGCGTCTCGCGGTTCTTCTGGAACTTCCAAGCCTGCCGGTGGTTGTGGTATAGACTGAGGTAGGAGAGGATGAGCGTCTCGTGAATCGTGGGTGCGCCGCCGTCCGTGGCCGAGGCCGAGGCTTTATCCTTATTCCTATTTTTCTTCTTCTCCTTCTTCTTTTTCTTCTTGTCCTCTCCATCGCCTTCATAGTTAATTTCCTCCGCAGATCCATTCTCTTCGGTTTGTTGCTGCTGCTGCTCCTGCTCCGATTGTTGTCCCTCCACCTCCATCGCATCCGCCTCCGCCTCCGCCTCCAAATCCCCACTGCCATCCTCCAACTTCACATCCGCCGAGAAAGAGACCCTCTTCTTCTTTTTCTTCTGCTTCCGCTCCTCCTCCCTGGCGGTGTTTTTGGCGTCCTCTGCCTCATCCTCGTCAGCTTCTTCCAGGCGCCGCTTCTTCGACTGCTTCTTGTCCGCGTCCTTGTCGCTAACGGTGCTGCTGTTGTGCTTCTCTTTCTTCTCTTTCTTTTCCTTCTTGTCTTTCTTTCCCTTCTTTTCCTTCTCCTCCTTCTCCTTCTCCTCCTTCTCCTCTCGCCTCTCCTTCTTCTCCTTCTTGACCTTCTCCCTCTTTTCCTTCTTCAACCCCGCCGCCGAATCAGAAACAGCAGAGGCAGCCATAGCGAATTCGTTTAACCCAATCGCCCAATTGCTCGATTGCTCAATCCCGGTGCCAGTAGCGATAGCGGTAGCGATAGCAGGAAAATCAAAGGTTCGGTAGCGACGAGAAAATCAAACCTCAATCTGAATTTCCTTTCCGAAGTCGCAAAGAAAAATAATTCCCTGCAAGAATCCCGTGTCGCACAGCCCACGAAAAGAATATAACAGACACCAAGACTTGTAAGTCCGAAGGTTTATTGGTTAAGTGGGCGAAAGGGGAAAAAGGTTAAGGAAATTGTTGATTGTAGAGTAAGTAGTAGCTGCTGGAACTTTTTTTCTTTTGGAAGGAAGGGTAAATGCGGAGGGGGGAAATTTTCACGTGAGTCCATCTGGGTTTATCCACTAGTAAAGTTGAAAGTACGTAAATGATTTTAGGCGGGCGGGTAGTAGCGCAGCCCTGGGGGCTTCTAGTAAATACTGACTTACAGTATACCTAGATATGGGTTATACATGAGATCTAGGCAGAGAGCTCTTTGCCATGGATGCTATACTCCTTGAGATATGCAAAAATACCCAATAGCAATACAACACTTCGTCTCAATTATTGTTAATTTGTACTCCATCCAAAGTCTCTGACACCAATCACTGCAGGATTCATCATCATCATCATCATCATCATCATCGTCATCATTAAGCTTACAACGAACTATGTATGTACATATACATGCTTTTGTGCTGTTGCCATGTCATTCCTCTCCAAGCCATTTCATAACCGTATAAGAGGACACACAGTCAAGCGCCGTCCTATGAGGCAAACCACAATACACAATAAGCCCATCACTTGAACTGGAACCATATAATAATACCCCGAGAAAACTCCCCCTTCTGCCAGTAATCTAGCCCTTCAACGTCAATCCAACCAAACCCAAGAAAACCCGCGCAAATCAGTTCGCACTACTGCTATCATTCCCATTCCCTCCCGTACTCGAAGGTTTCTTCTCCCGTCGGGCTGGTTGTTCCTTGGACGCAGACACTGTGCTGCTACCTTCCGTCGCGGCGGTTGCGCCATCATTTGCAGCCGCCGCCCTTCGTCTCGCTCTCTGCTTGTCGCGCGAGCTTCCACCTGCAGCGCTCCGTCGTTTCCGGATCGGTTGGTAGACATCGTTGAAGTTCATCACCACGCCAAGGAAGCGCATATCCACGTTCGACTGGTAGGCGAGATCGCCCAGGAACACGTTAAGGCGGGTTCGAAATTCTGCCGAGAGGTCACGGAGGCGGCCCTGTAGACTTGCGAGCATCTGATCATCTGCAGAAAGATCACCAGGATTTGCGAGCGATACTGGGGAGCCGATCTCATCGCCTCCGAGGTTGGGGGTATATGCTGCCAGAGACGGGGACATGTTCGAGGAAACCGAGTCTTTGTGGGCTCTGGTAAGTCGCGCAGAGGATGGAAGAATATCGTCATCGGTGAGGCCCCAACGGCCCTGAGCTGTGCGGGTCTCAATTTTCGCGCTAAGCTCCTGTCTGCGAGTGAACTCGGCGACAGAGAAAGAGTAGAGACCGTCCACGGCGTCTTTATAGGCAAGCATGATCTTCAAGATGTAGTGAAGTTGGTTGAGAAAATCCTCCTCCTGTGAACTGCTAGTGGAACTGGAGGATGAGCTTTTGGAGGAGCTCAAGAGACCCTTTCGCGTGATGGATTTGAGATATTCGTTGTGTGCCTCGATCAGGTCGTCCAGTGTGCAGCCGGGCTTAGAGATGGACGCTTGCAGTTTATCCCAACCGGCCTCAATGACTTCAAAGAGAATATAGAACTGGAGTTGGCAAACGAAGTGGATCATCTCCGCAATGACGCATCGTGCTTTCTTCCAATCTGAGCCAACTTTGTCGTCGACACTACCAAGCACGCCGCGGGCGCCCGTCATGCACCGGCGCCAAGTGCTTCCCAGAGCGAATTCGACGCGCTTGATGCGCCAAAGGAAGTTGAACACCTTTAGGTACTGAGTCAACGCATATGGTGTAATGACCACGTCCACTGGAGCATCAACCTTATACTCAAGTGTGAAACAGTCCCAGCCGCTTTCGCCATGGCTGTACTCTAACATGCGGGCATCCAATCGTCGGAGTACATCTGGTGAGTCATACTGCGCATTAGATGCGCGGATTGCATGTTCTAGCTGCGCAGTCAGAGTATGTCTGTACTGCGAGTTGGCCGGTCGATCAAGGTTAGAGGCCAGCGATTCCATCAACAGGGCAATAAAATCACCTTGGCCCAGCAACATATAACTCTTCAGCGCTCGAAGGTGGTCGAAAAGCTTGAATTTATCGTCCATGAGGTGGATCAGCCGCGCCATTGTGGTCTTGTAGGCTTCATCAATCGATGCCTCGAGGCCAGCCGTATCGCCATAGTGCAGCTCTTTCGAGGCTTCTTTGGAGTAGTCCTCGACCCATCCAGAGTCCCCGCAGCCGTACCGAATGAAGTTTAGAGACTTGCCAATCAGGAATATTTTCTTCGCAAAGTCCTGGGTTATGATCGACGGCACCATTTCATCGTCGAGCTGGTACTTGTCGTCCCAGACACTAGTTGCGGTTCGACGCGGATCAATGTTGGGTCTAGATTCTGGCTCGACCACAAAAAACTCTTTATACGGATCTGACAGTTCACCGTCATAGATCCAAGACCGTAGCATATCATAGAAAGGTTGTGTCACATGGGAGAGAAGCTTTTCCGCGAATGCACCCACGAAGGGATCGCCGTGCGAAGTCGAGAAGCCGTGGATCAAAGAAATCAGCTGGCCGCCTTTCTTGTCTACAAGCACAAATTTAGAGGGGCAAGCTGTTTTGCAGAAGTGGAGGTACTTACGTTGTGCTTCCTCAACAATCAAATTCATCAGCCGTAGCGCCATCGTCGCGTCCCTTGTCCACACAACACATCGCTTCAGCGTGACACCGGTCTTCGTAGCGCTTCTCAAATCATTGGCGTCTGGTGGTGAGGCCAACGCCCGCCGAATCTCTCCTTCCAAGGTGGCGATTAGTCCCAGATAAGAGCGAAGCTCATTGGAAAGAGCCGCCTGGAGACTTTGACTCAGAAGCCCACTCGTTGTGCTTCCTACGAACGCCGATATGCCGCGGTACAGCAGGCACGGTTCAGCAAGGCAATTCAGCAAGGAGATAATGGGCACTGGTAGAGAGGGGGGCAAGTTCAGAATCGTCGTCGAAGCGAATTGCAAGTTCGAGGAGGACAATCCCTGTAAATTGAAGGGAAGGTCACGGAGAAGCCCCTCTTCAAGAGGTACATTGGGTTTCTGTTCCTGTTCTGAATCCTGCTCGGACTGCACGGGCTTCGGTTCTTCGGGAGGTGGCTCTCGCACCCCGGTATTGGCACGACTGCGTGTAGTCCGCGCCTCTCTGGCTCTTGCCGCTGGTGCAGATGTCTCCGGCTCTGGCTCTGGCTCCCTCTCCGCGTTTATCTCCTGCTGCCGTCTTAGCGCAGCCTGCCGCTCCGCCCGCGCAGGGATCTGAGATGCCGACGAGCTGACAGCCGGCCCATCCTCATCCGAAAACTCCATTACCCTGCTGCGGCCTGGGTTCATCCTCTGGCCCTTGTACATCATGTTGTTCAGGCCTGCCGGTTCGAACTGAGGGCTCCTGCTGACGCTCTCCTCAATCCCAGGCTCTTCATAATCATCGGTGCTCGAAAGTCGGTAGAGGAGAAAGAGGATCGCCCATTTCTGAGACAGGACCGGCTGGGTCAATAGACGCGAGTAGAGATTGGAGAACCGTACTGCTTGCTCGGGGCTGTCGTTTTCGCGTAGAAGCTTCCGCTTAATGAGGTCCACCGCGTTGTTGACATTCTCGCCGCCGGCTAAACTCCCGCGGCGGTTGACGCCGTATGCTATGGAACCGGACGGTGATGCTAGGTCATTCGAGGGGCTGGTGTAGGAATTTAGGATGTGCCATGAGCGCTCGAGATACTTTTGGTGTCGTCGTTCTTCCGCTGCGGCCAAGGCTTCCTCCGCATCTCCTTCGTACTCGCCCCGGAGATCTGCATGCGATAGCGGAGGGGTGAGGGAGTCGACGAGCTGCGAGAGCGCATCGTCGATGCGCCGTGGTCGCGCGGATTGACGAGCGGACATGGTCTTATGTTGTTATCAGAGTCTGATCGCTAGCTCTGGGCGAGCCGTTGTGGTCGAAGCTGAATCGAGATTCGCCGGTCAGGAATAGTCAAGCTGTCAAGCAGCTAGATCAAAGAGGGTTGGGTAGTATAGGCCTGAGGGTGAATGTGGCGAGCAGTGGAAGGCATGTGTTGAGAGATTCCACTTCACTGGTTCTTTGTAGAGCAAGACATGGCGTCCTACACCAGTGTTGAGGCCGCTTCGTAAATTTATCGCATGAACTCCCCCAAATCTTCGGGGTGTCGGGGAATGCGCATTGATGTCCCAGCCCAGGCCGCCGCTTAGGAAAGGAAACCCCCGATGCGGGTGTGTTTTTGTTTGTCCGGTTTGAGTGGTTTGCCGCAGCCCGCCAAGCCTTCACTTGCTACCTGAGGTATCTCAGTATTAGTAGTTACATATCCTGTAGCACGCATTCTAAAGCATTGCCTACTTCCCAGTATCTTTGCATTGACTGCAGGAATCGAGATCACTGCGTATTACCTGCGCTTCCTCATTTGTTATGAGAGCCAACTAGTGGTAGAGCTAATCACATACCGTGTTGGTAACCAGCAAGGCGATCAAGTTATCATTACATATTGTAGGTACGGATTTGATAGATAGATGACCGTATAGAGGGGTAGATGATGGACCGAGAAGTGGATTTATATATGTTCAAACTGATGCGTGGTAGTCCGTTGAGAGATAGAAGTCTCAATAGCAGTAGCATCCATGTCATTGTTCCCTAGTAAGACACGCTAAAAAAGGCAGCAATCCCTGGCAATCCTAACGTAACCCATGAAATAAAAAGCCCCCGGTAACCCCGAAGAAAACCCCTTTTAAGAAGCAAAGGCAGAAGAGAATGAAGAATGTGGAAAATATAACAGGAGAAGCATGGGACACAAATAGCCAACAATACAGAGCCTGAAAAAGAAGCCTTGCTGGACTGGCACCGATATGGCATCTGCTCTCTGCAAAGTTTAGTGCGGTCCGTATGGTCCAAAAGCTAATCATAGCAGTAAATTATCGTGTACACGGCTCATTATCGTCGGAGCCCTTGGGCAGGAATCGGCGGCCCTTGCATGCCCATCTGACTTGGGATATTATACGGATGGGCGTCGAATCCGGTCGCCATGCCGTTCATCATTAGAGGGCCAAGACCTTGAGCTTGCGAGACTGGGCAATCCTTGTGCGCTAGCAATAGAGTCTTGAGGTTGACAATCTCTTCCCGCAACTGAGTGACAGTGGCGGTGAGTGCATCATTCTCCGAGGTGAAAAGTTCAACTTTAGCCTGAAGGTTAGCCAGCCACTGCTTCTTCCGTTGACGACATTTTAGAGCCGCGACCCTGGCAAAGCTGTTAGTGTTGCCCATTAAATGCAAACGAGTATCAGATGTTTTGGCTCACCTGTTCCTTTCCAGGAAATTCTTTCTCTTTTCTTCATCAGTCATTTTCTTCGTGTCTGTCGTGCCCTTCTTCTTCATATCATCTTCGTCCTCCTCTGAGTCTGGAACATCCGAAGGAGGTTCGGTACTACCGCTGATACTCGTTTTTGCCTTCTTGTTGGCTCCCTTGGGAGTATCCTCGGCCTTGCGTCTGTTGTTCGTGGCAGCACCAGTTTTCGCGGCAGTAGCCTTCTTAGCCTTACCCTTAGCAGCAGGCTTCGTTTGTTCCCCCTGCATGTCAGACGCATCACTTGAGGACCGGCCGCCCTGGGCCAAGCCATTGATGTTCTGCGAGTTCCGTCGATCAGCGGCTGCGTTCAGCGGCTGCTCAGTGGATTGGATATTCTGCGGCTGGATCGATGTCTGGTTGGCTACAGGAAATTGGTTCGGGTTACCCTGTCCACCCTTGGCTAGCATGAACAGTCCATTGGCTGCGTCCGCAGCATCGTGGTGACCAAAGGGATCGGCTCCCGGTGGCGGGTTCGGTTTCATATCCATAGTGGAAGTCTGTGATGAGGGATCGGATTCAACGGCCGGATTAGATGTAGGACCATTAAGGCTGTTCTTCTTCGCATTCAGCGCAGTACGGTGGAACTCAATGGTAGATGGCGTCGCACCACCGCTTTGCAGCTGTTGGAGGAGGGCCTGAGAGTTGGGACTAGGAGCAGGGAACATAGAGCCTCCTCCACCAGGAGTCAGGCCAGTACGAAGGGAGGATTCGTTGGGAGTAGGGAATCCCCGACCGATACTATCGAAGTAATCATTGGGGCCAGTCGGACCGGCGAGCATGGCTGGGCTCAGCGGCCCAGAGCGCAACGAGTTGGACCAACCGTAGCCGCCACCGGCTGAAGTGGTGCCTGGCAGGGCTGGTGAGGTGAGGGCTGCAACAGGAGGAAGTATAGATTTGCCTGGAGTTTCGCCAGAACCACCGCCACTGAAGGACTGCTCAAAGGGGTTGGGCTCCAGAGAGAAGGGATTATGGACAGAGTTGAAGTAGTCGGGGGTATCAGTAGCACTTGTGATGGCTGGTCGCGGAGGAGGTGCCAACGAGGTTTGGGATTCTACATCAGGCTTCGAGTCTTTGACATCCGAGGACGGCGCCCGCGAGTCTGTCACGCAAAGAGAGATCGCGTCAGTAAGGCAGTCAAGAGGAACGAATAAAGCCCAAAGCGCGACGACGATGATAGATCAATCAACGATGAGGGGATGAAGGGTCTGTGATGCGAACGACGATGTTGTGTCCGGGTCGCAAAGACGGGTAAGGATGTGAGAAGGGGATCTGATAACGATAGCCATCGATGACGCCAATTGTGAGGTCATCCCGACGGCGAAAGCGTTGAACAAAAACATTTGAGGAACAGTGGCGTACAACCAAGCCCAAACAGGCCAAGACTTAACAAGATGAACATAGGGAGAAATGCAGAATACAACAGCGATTTTGCATTTAAGGCAAAGTACTGCGATTTCGCGCGCACACACGGAGGAATCAAACTCCATTATGACACACACACTCACCTTCGCTCTCGAGACCTGCTTTCTTCACATCCATGGGCGATGAATTACGATGCGATGGATTATTCGGCAGGCTGGTCGAAATAGTCGTAGCGACAATCGCAGACATAATCTCGAAAGGGGGGGGGAGAGGGTGGTCGGTATATTAAAAGCGAGGGAGGTTGGCAGGTGACTTTTTGGGGGAGGGATGGAAGGGCAGGAGAAAAATAAAAGAAAAATAAGGGCTAAGAGCGAGTGGATGAAGTGGCAAAGACCAGAACAGAGGGCGACAACTGGAACAAAGATAACAGATACAGGTTAGAAAGAAGAGAGAAAGCAAGGCTCGAAGCCGACTCTCTGGTCAATCGAACTGTTGTTGTCCGGATGTTCAGTCGCGGGATAATCGACTGGGGGTGTACAGTGTAGTTCAACCCGGGAGAGGGTCACTGGACTGCGTAAGTAAGTAAGATGAACGATGATAGTAAGTAGTAGTAGTAGTGTGAAATGGGTGGAAATGGAAGAAAGAAAAGTTGTGACGTAGGCAGGACCCGGAGAAGTCTTAGTTTTAGGGGAGGGGGAGGGAGGGAAAGAGGGAGGGCGGTCGGTCGAATGTCGTGAGCTAAGCCTAGCCTAAAATGATATTTTTCCTTCTTTTCTTTCTTCTTATTATGTCACGTCCGGAACCATGCAACCCTGAACTACAAAAAGCCCACGGGTACCGGCCAAAAGTGCAACCTCGACAAGATGCAGACACAGAACATTTATTGTGATGAATGGTTTGGTCCTCTTTTGGATCTCTCGATTTTCTGGATGCTTGCTTTTTGCGGTTGATCCTTGAATTGCAGGTTTCTGATATCTACTGAGCCTTCTGTTATTCTTCATTTTTAAATTTCGCCTTCCCTTTCCTTTTGGTTACTGTATCTGTCTCAGGGCAGATTCTTCCAAAGTCTTCGGAATAGATTATTGATAGCCAACGGGAAGAAAAGGAGACCCAGAGGGGAAAAAAAAGGACCAACCAAAAAGAAAAAATGGAAAAATTGATTAGACCAGGGAAAAATCAAGACTAACCCTCGAATGCTTTGAATTGAGTGGATGATTATGCAGGCGAATGCTGGCTGGCCCTTACTTGGAAAGAAGAACTTGGGTTTTGGATACAGTGGGCTCCCGGGAATACCTTTCAACCAATGCGACAAGTGGAATCCGGGTGGACACGGTTGTTGAGATGATGGGTGGAAGGACTGGCGAGTTTTCTACACAACCGAGGACAAGGACAGTCTTTTTCGACAAACTTCTTCTTAAGATCAGGAATGTTGCTTTGCTATCCAGGGGTAGTTGAGAAACAATGACTGCAACCACTATCTACTTAGTTCTTCACTCGTAGCTTGGTACTACTGTCACTGTATGGCGTGCAACAACCCCAGTCAGTCAAAAGCAGATTGCCATTCATGAAGTGGAAGGGGGTTTGATTTGGCAGCAATGGATGAGATCACGGTGACGACGACAGGAATTTTCCTTCGATGTCCAACTAAAGTCCGCCCCACTTAGTCTACCTAGTCCAACCACTCACGGGCCTTTCTGTGAGCCCCGCCCGCCTCAACGAATCATGGATCGGACGCCATGTTTGTCCGGCTGCAGGGCGGTCAGGATCTGCGGCGATTCAGTGGTCGAGACTGCAGTTGAGGGTGACATGAATCGCCCGGCATGAATGCTTTGAATTGGTTGAATGGCTCACTGACGGCCTGCTTCCCAGGGCTTACGATTGGCTCAAGCAAGTTATTCACCTCCCCTCCTCCGGCCCCCCTCTTATCCCCTTCCCATCTCGGCTCCATTTCCACCGTTAACCTGTTCTGCTGGTTTCAGGGGGAATCTTTCCTCGGAACGTTGGGTGACACATCTTTCCGATGATTGGAGGATCCTCAATGACGCAATGCTCCGGAACATTCGTCCCGTGGATATCTATCACGTGATGTCGCTGTTGCGGTATCTCATTCGCATCGAAACAGGTTCTGTCGAAGCCTTTTTGCCACCCCATTTGGATGGATGATCGGACTCGGCCAGATGATTTGAGCCTTCCATGCCGAGGATTGAGGAGGTGGGCAGCCTTGGAGGGGGGAGTAAGTTTGTAGTCTTGACTCTCTCCACATGGAGCCCCAAAGCCCGGCCAGAACACACCTATCGATAGTCGATAGTCGATAGTAGTCGATGATCGATGGCGATAGATGATCGCTTCTCCCAAGTTTTCCTTTTTCTTGTTGTTCTTGCCGTTCATGGTCTCTCTGAAGTCCGAGGTCCGAACTTTTGTTGGCGTTCACTTAGACTTTCCAGGCACCTCCCAAGTCCACCTCACTGGCATCCAGAGCCGGGTCTCCAAGTGCGGGAGGCTTAATCCCCTTAGCGCCCCCCCCCCCCCCCCCCCCAAAACGGAGTATAGGCACGCAAGTGCATTCCCCCTGCAAAGGTCAGGCTAGAGTCTAGACAGCTCAAAGCTGCATGATAGATCACTGGCGGTGTTCTCGCAGCTTACATACCATTTCATGTATGTAATGTACTGTACTATGACTCAAATTCGAGGTATAAGGTGCTCCGTGTCGTAGTCGGAAGGTCTCAATCATCGACATGGCTTGCTCTGCATACTGTGTACTCTGTAATTTCTTGGAGGGCGGGGGGAGGCAAACACGTGGATCCAAGTCTGACGATGTTTGTAGATGCAACCAGTGATTGTACTTGATTACTCGTTAGTCTTCCTGGTGGAGTGATTAGAACAAGTGATTCTAGCACCGGATCTTGTAACCCGCCTATAGGAAGATATCGAGACCGGGCCCAACATTCAACGGATGCATTTCTCATTTGCGATCGCTGTAGAAGCTATTAGCTTGGGCGAAAGTCCATCTTTGCCATTCGACGATGCCATGAGGCGACCACGATACAGCTGGTTTCTATCGAGCCATGTTGAAGCGAGACAACCGTCCGGACAAGAATGACCTCAGCTGTGACTCGTATGCCATATGTCCTTTGCTGTGCGGAAGAGCTTATTTCCTGACAATATATGGAATGATGGCATACTATAGAGCTTCAGTTGTGGAGAGACTTGACGCTGCCATGGGCAATTAGATATACCTTGCTTGCCAGCACCCCATTACTCATGCACTTCATGGCGAATATAGACTAACTTCCAGGCAGGTATTTTTAACTGATATCCCGTAGCTCCAGCATAGCTGTGAGGGCCCTTCACTTTGTCGCTAGCGGCATTCAAAATATTTCAGGGAGGGACAGGAAGTAAAGCTTGTTCGGACCATTCAAAATGCCTGTCAAGCTCAATACCGGTCGAGTCTCTCCTGATAGTAGTCGCACGATTGAAGACTTTCCGGAGGCATTCTAAGCGATCAGGAGCCCGGCATGGCATTTTACCGAAGCCGAATAGAACGCACTGTGTTTGAGGGTGTGTCCCAAGAAAGTTCCTCTAACCAGTTTCGCTACTAGCCGTTGCTGAGGGTCTCATAATTTGACACATTCATGTCGCGCACCGGGTGATTTGAAGCGATGGGGAGCGATAGTCAGTGCGCGGGGTTGTTTTCTGCCTGAGGCAGCATATGGACTGATGACTCCAACACGTGCCGCCTGAGCAATCGCTACTGTTCCGGACTCACTCATACTTTACTTACTCGCAGCGGGTTGACGCAGCTCCGGTCATTTTGCGAAACTTCTCGAATCCCATCCACCGCCCTATCCGAAGGTTTCAGCACTCGGCGGGAAGTCCGTACGCGGTGAGTCCAAGCTTAAACGGAGGCAAATATCGCAACTTGTTACAGCGCTAACGATCAACTCCTTTTCGCCCCCTCCTCTAGACCAGGTACACAATCAATTCACGACCCCGACCTATTCTCTCGACCTCCTACCATGTCTTCCGCTGTCGTACATAGCGACGACCTTATGGAGCCTACGCTCCAGTCGGTCGTCAATCAGAAAACCTTGCGCTGGATCTTCGTCGGTGGTAAGGGAGGTGTCGGCAAGACCACGACCTCTTGCTCGCTTGCCATTCAGCTGGCTAAAGTCCGCAAATCCGTCCTCCTCATCTCCACCGACCCCGCACACAACCTGAGCGATGCCTTTGGACAGAAATTTGGAAAGGAGGCTCGGTTAATCGATGGTTACACCAACCTGAGCGCCATGGAGATCGACCCCAATGGCAGCATTCAGGACCTTTTGGCTAGTGGTGAGGGTCAGGGAGATGATCCTCTATCTGGGATGGGTATGGGAGGCATGATGCAGGATCTGGCTTTCAGCGTACGCTTCGAACCTGCTATGACTTTCGCGCACATGTATCATGAGCTCACATGGCTAACGGACAATCTTACTAGATTCCTGGGGTTGATGAGGCCATGTCCTTCGCTGAGGTCTTGAAGCAAGTCAAGTCCATGTCCTACGAGGTTATCGTTTTCGACACCGCGCCCACCGGCCACACGCTCCGCTTTCTCCAATTCCCTAGCGTCCTCGAGAAAGCTCTGTCGAAACTGTCGCAGCTATCCTCCCAGTTCGGCCCTATGCTCAATACTTTTCTGGGTTCTCGTGGCGGTCTTCCCGGCGGTGCGAACATGGATGAGATGTTGCAGAAGATGGAGTCTCTCCGGGAGGTGATCAGCGAGGTCAACTCTCAATTCAAGGATGCCGACTTGACCACTTTCGTCTGCGTCTGTATCGCCGAGTTCCTTTCCCTATACGAGACCGAGCGCATGATTCAGGAGTTGACCAGCTACAATATCGATACCCATTCCATCGTCGTTAACCAACTTTTGTTCCCCAAGCAGGGCAGCGAGTGCGAACAGTGCAACGCCCGCAGGAAGATGCAAAAGAAGTACCTCGAGCAGATTGAGGAGCTCTATGAGGACTTCAACGTTGTTCGGATGCCTTTGTTGGTGGAGGAAGTAAGAGGGAAGGAGAAGCTTGAGAAGTATGTTATGACCGGCAATGTCTACGCACAGACACCCATTTAGTTGCGATGCTAATAAATGGACAGATTCAGCGACATGCTTGTGAACCCATATGTTCCCCCGGAGGGCAACTAATGGTACGAGATGGTTTCATGCATGATATTTTGCAGTGCGCCTTTTTTGTCTGGGATGAGTCACGAAAAGATCATAGACAGTAATTCAAGAAGCGTTTTGGTGGTTGAATTTTCTTTTGCTCTTGAGCTTGGTAGCTGGTGATCTGGCTTGATGGATCAGCAGGTTGAGTTGGATCTCCGTACTATGTCATTTCTTTATGCCTGCAGCTCCATTTATACGCCCTAATCCTGGATACCACCATCTCGCGTCTCCCTCTGAATCCCACGATCCTGCTATATGTCATGATCGACATCATTGAGAGTGAGACTTATGTAACGTGCGGTTGGGATGACCATTCTGACTGAGGACTGAGCGGCTTTTCTCCACAACCTCAGCAAGATGAAGGAGAAGTGCCCATCATCGCACAATTTAAGCTGAAAACAGCAATACAACTAAATGCAAAAACCCCCCTGGTTTCCTAATTTCGAAATCAGAGGAGGCATAACCACCCTATTAGAGCTCTATAGTACAGTAACCTTTCGCAAACTAAACCCACCATCCATCCATCCATTCATCCATCCATCAAGTTTCACACCACAGCTAGCTACTATCAAGCAACCTTGATCCCACTAAGAAATCAACAGCTACAGAACCAACCAAGCGCGATCCATTCTTTTCGTGAAAATAAAACAGCCACACCAACACTGCATACACGCTCAGAATCCCGTAGCAACATATCCAGGTCAAGCGAACGGCATCGCACGCCGAGGAGTTCAGTAAAGGAACATTTCCACCAGCGCATACTTTCATAATGCGCGGCGGATTGCATTTTCATCTCGCCTTGTGCTTGTTGGTATGTGTTGACTGGCTGACAAGCCTCACTTTTTTCTCCCACTACGCCGAAAGAACGGTGTAGAGCTGGTGGTGGTGGGTGGTGCTGGTTGGATGGGGAAGAGTGAGGCGGATGGTTCATTTTTCACTTGGCTGGATGTAAGCTGCAATCGTAGGGCTGATGCTCTATCCATGAATCTCGAATTTCCTTCTCTTCTTACATGCTTCGCTATGGGTTATCTCTCTGGAAGAGCATCTTGAGGATTGGATCCGTGTGGTGGGGGACTTCATTACCTGTGACAGAATAATAGCGAGTTGCCCCATCAGGGCAATTCTGGTCGTAGTAGAAGATATTGATTGGGAAGAGCGTGTACTGTATATCTGAAGGTAAAGTAGGGCCAAGCGAAGCGATCACACAGGATCATCCAACCATCGATATGCATGATTGATCATACCAAGCAAAGCCAGCAAGCCATCATCAAGCCGAACAACAGCCCCTGTGGGCTTCCCCTGCAGCGAGGCTGAGATCTAGTAACCCTGCTGTCCATAAATACAATGCATCACGGAACGAACGGTGTAGTTGCTACGGTCATGTCTGCTTCAACCTTTTAGATCATACCTTAGTATTGAGTACATATAAAATTGAAAGCCGGTGATACTTTCTCCTCCATAGTGACATTCACACACACACACACACATAACCTCCAAGCCTCAACACCACCAAATCAGCCAGAAAAATGCTACCACCGCGAGAGATCCAACAATACTGGCTCCCCGGATACGGCCTCTCCCGATACATCGTCCTCAGCCACATCCAGTACTTCCTCGGTCCATCGGCCGTAGCGCGTCCTTATTCCTTCCAGGTATGCTTGACGTGAGAGTACCAATACTCTTCCATCCCCTCCTGTGCAATCATTGCAAATAAATACTCAAGTAGCTATACGATACTACCCTCACGCGCGAAACAAGTCCAATCCCCTAGTCCACAAACAGCACAAATCCCTCACAATCCAATGCATGGAACCCCTTCAATCAACAAGAATTGGTTTTAATTGCAATTCCCCGGAAAACCAGACATACTCAAACTAACACATCACTCTCTCTCCCTCACTTACTGACAGCAGACAGGGACGAGAAGGCTATCTCATCACCGGCGTACCACTCACAAGGGTTCGTTCTTCCACCCCACCCCGCACCTACCCCGGCTTTCATATCATGGAGCAAAACCCTCACCCCTTGACACCAACATGATAGGACCAAATCGATGACCTAGCTACCATGTCCCGCGAGTACGAACGGCAGGAGTCCCTTCGTATGGCTGGTGGGGTTATTACCAGTAGCAACAACAACAACAGCAGCAGCAGCAGCAGCAACAGTCGCGGGGATCGGGCAAGTTCTATAGTGCGGTATGTGGAGGATGGGGACCGAGATGGGGACAGGGGGGAGCCGTATATAAATGCGATTGTGCTGATGAGGGCTACAGCCAAGGAGGATGGTCACAGGGATAAGAGGGGGAGGTGGCGGTTGAGGTAGTGGTGTATGGTTTAATATATTCTATATAGTCTCCCCAGTGCCAAAGGTCTACGGTATCTAATGTATGAGTCTGATATGAGGAAAAAGAGGGAGGAGTAAGGAAGGAAGTCTTGCCTTGTTCGTGGTGTCTTGGACTGCTGGTTTGCATTGTTTGGGGGTGATCAGATCCAAGATGATAGAAGAACACAATGTTGATGATGGTCTCCGTGGACCAAGGCTATTCGGTTCATGGGAGGTAGCAGGCGGATTTACCTCCGCACACTCCTCTACACATTCTCAGAGATCACATCACAAAAGTCAAGTCTGGTTTCAACATTCAATTCCATCATCTCTAAGTCATCGTAACAGCATGAGACAATCAATCACGTGGGAGGCAGGCATGCAGGACGTGCGACGTACCATCCAACAAGATGCTAAGTCAACCACCGAAATTCCCTGCTGGTGTCCACACCCTGATTCACCACGTGATTGCCAGCCTTTACAGTAAAAAAAAGTTGTCCGGGTGGAAAACTTCGACAATACTTCTTTTAGTTTTTGCTTTTCTTCCAGGGGGCGTGGTCATCACGCCAAAAAGGCGCACCTGAAAGCATGTCGACAAGGAGATACATAGGGGGAAATAGACAGATCATGGGGAGAGAGACATAAGCAAAAGGGAAGAAAAGAAGAAAGACATGAAAAGTGGACCACCTGAACGCCAGCCTGATGCCACTCTGCTTGGTCCCATCATTTCAGGAAGTCCGCACCTTGGCGGGGAATACTACTAACATGAAGAACCATTAAGAGAAGGGTAAAAGGACGAAATTCTTGTTTCGGAGAAAACTCAAAGTGCTGTCATTTATTTCGCAACGGCCGCGCTGTGGAAGAATCAGTCCAGCCCCTTTGATCGCGATTCAACTGGAACTCACCTCAGAACTTGCGTCCGGAAGAATGCACCCTTAGTCTTCTCAATGACCTGCTGGTACACAGACTGAGGAGGGTGGTTCATGATCACAGTGCCCTCCTTGTAGTCGATCTTGGCATCAACTCGGGTGTCGCGGATCAGGTTGACGATCCACTTCTCGCCATCATCCTGGTTCAGACCCAAGCGGGTAGACAGGTCCCTAGTATCCTGGTTAGTCACAACCTTTTCCAGATTCGCTCGTTCTAGCACGTACTTAATGTCAATGCGCTGGTGGATCTTGCAGTAGCTCTCGGAGATGAGGTGACGGGCGGCCTCAATGAAAGCATCGGCAGCGGAAACGAGGAAGAAGTCGCTGCGCAACACATCCTCGGCCTCACCCAGCTTCTTCTGGGCCTCCTCGAAATCGAAGTCAACATACAAGGCCTTGACGAAGTCGGTGATCGGATCGGAGTACTCGTAGCCCTCCTGGCGAACGACCCGAATCAGATCCTTCAGTTGCTTCTGATAGACGCTGCTGTTCTTGTGGGCGCGGTTGCGGTTGGTGATGACGGCGGCGGCGAGGTACCGCAGAATCCAGGGGCAGCTGGTCTGAATGGTGTTGATGTAGGCGGGAGAGAAGAAGAGGTCGGTCAGGACATCGCGAGCGGGGTCGTAGTTGAAGAAGGGGAACAGGGACCAGTGGATCAACCAAGAGCGGTTCTGCAGCTGTCCCAGGGGGTTGTTGAAGAAGCGAGTATCAATCGAGTCCTTGACCTTGATAACCTCCTCCATCGCACCCTCCCAGCTGGTGGTCAGGATCTCCGAGGCCAGCTTACCCCAGGTAGCAGAAGCAACCTTGTCGTTGTCGGTGGACAGGACACGGAACTGGTAGAGGAGCTCGGCGGCATTACCATAGCTACCACAGCTGTATTGGAAACGACCATAGTCGAAGAGGCTGTTGACCATCTCAGCCGTGACCCCGTGCTGCTCCTCGAGGAACTTCAAGTTAGCAACCTTGTCGCTGCGCAGGTTGCCGACGACGCTCTCATCCTGCAGGAGCTCGGTGATCTTGGCGCTCTGGTCCTGGTAGTGTTGCAACTTGGCGAGAACCTCCTCACGCTTCTTGATGAATTCCTCGGGAATGCTATCGGAGTCGTTGAGTTCCTTCCACAGGTTGGCGACGTAGTCGGTCATGTTGGTGTGCTTGAGCAATTCATACTTGGCACGGATCGTTTCCTTATCGTCATCCTGGCCACCGGAGCTGAATTCGAGAAGAGGGAAAACCAAGTGGCGATCAAGGTAGGGGATCAACTTGGGGAGAAGGTCGTGGTTGGCGATTTCTTCAGCGGTCTTCGGAGTGTGGGCGGCGGCACCACTGAGAAGAGTCTCAGCGGAGGGAGGAGCGTTGGCTGCCATATTGATATAAAGAAACAGCTGCTGCTGCGAGGGTAGTGGTTGTGGTGGGGGGAGG